CGCTGAGGTATCTGGGCAGCTTGTGCCTCTCCTCAGCTTCAGGATGCACCGTTGCGAGGTCCCATACAGCTAAAGCAGGCTTAGTTGGAGCAGCACTCCGGATATTCCTGACTAAATACGTTGGTCGAGAAGAATAAGCGTATCCGTGAGTTTGGTTTAACTTTGTTGGCTTTAAATAACACATGTTTTTTATTAAACGCATGCATCTGTGAGTTAAAGACCCTTATTGCATGTGTGCTTTTGCAGGCTCTTGCTTGACACACAGATTCATAGTTTACAAAATCAATGTGTTTTCTATGTAACGAAATTTATGTCAAATAGAGCATGTGTTAGGCTCAGATCTCTAGGAGATGGATTTCATTATGTACAACTTCACAGTTCCTTTGACTAGAAAAAATATCCAAATACAAATTTTCAAGGTGTTTTAAGGAATTTGAGGCATGAACATTTTAGACAGTAGTCACTATTTGAGCACTTTTTAAAAATCTAGCTGCTTACAAATAAAAGTATATTTATATACTGTAAATGGAAGTGAGTCTGAAGAATATTAGAAATAGCTCCAAAGGAGTTTATCAATATCTTTTCTTACTACTTAAGGAGCCAGAGTACTGCAAAGTTCAGTGGTAAACCAGGCAGATCTATATTTGATATATATCAAAAATGTTAAATAGATTTCTTTGAAGGTAGCAATTGCTGGAGGCCCTGTTCATGGTAAATGAGTTGGTAAAAATGTCATCCTTACAGGTGAAGACTGCAGTGTTACAAACACCACACAGTACATTTCTAAATTAAAAAAATATTGTGACAAGTGATGGAAGAGTCTGAATGGAAGATGTACTAAACCTTAGGTATTGCAGTAAAGTGTGGCCAGTAGGCCTAAGGTTAAAGGTCCAAAAAGCAAGCTGTAGTGCCAACTATTGTGGAAGATTGCCTGCCAGGGTGGCTCGAGCCAACAGGCAGGATGTCTCGCTATCCTGTGTTCGTGTTATTTACCTGTCGTGGTTTAAGCCTGGTCGGCAGCCAACCACCACGCAGCCAGTCTCTCCCCCTTCTCTTCTGGCAATAAGAAGGGACAGAGAACCAGGCTTGGGGTTTGAGATAGGACTGGGATGGGGAAAAAAATCCCCCTTTACGGTCACGAGCAAAAGGCAGACTCGTTAGGAAAGAAAAAAAAGAACATACATTTATTACATACACTAACAACATGTAACAGATTAGGACAGTGAGAAGCATTGCCACATACTGAGAACACCTTCCCCCCACCCCTCCCTTCTTCCCGGGTTCAGCTCTGCTCCCAATATCTCTACCTCCTCCCCCCAGCGGCGCAGGGGCAGGGAATGGGGGGTGCAGTTAGTGCTGCTGCTTCTTCCATCTTCAGTGGGGGGAGCTTCTGGAACTTGTCCTTCCTGCTCCATTGTGGTCCCCCTCTCACAGGAGACAGTCCTCCACAAACTTTCTCCAACATGAGTTCCTCCCACGGGCCGCAGCGTTCCCCACACTGCTCCATCGTGGGTTGCTAACTTTCTCCAACCAGATTCCCTCCCATGGGCTGCAGCCCTTCCTGAGCTGCTCTGGCGTGGGACACCCCCGCATGCTGCAATCCTCCCAGCACTGAACTACAAAAGCGGGGCTACCTTTTCCCACAAGACCCCGGCCTTCTTTGGGCACAGCACCTTGATCAATCAGGTGGAAGCCACAGGCCATAAATCAATGTCTGCTCCACCGTAGATCTTCATGGGTGGCAGTGGGGGGCCACCCTGCCGTCTCACCACAGGATACAGGGGGGTCTCTGCTCCGGCACACCTCCCCCCTCCTTTCTTCCTCCGTTCCTCCTCTGACCTTGGTGTTCACGCAGCTGCCACAACTCCTCCTCCCAAGTCCAACTGCCCATCACCACATCCCTTCTTAAATACATTATCACAGAGGAGCAGCTGATTGGCTCAGTTTCCAAACAGAAGTGGAGCTGACTTGGAGCTGGGGGAGCTTCGAGAAGCTTCTCACAGGGGGCTGCCCCTATAGGCCCCTCCCCTGCCACCAGAAAAACTCCACCACTCACTCAACCCAGGACATTACCTCTCTGTTCAAATTTCTGATACATTGATATTCATTTTGTAGATTAAAGAAACCTTGTGCTGGCCTTAGATCTGTTCTTGGAAAGGTTGATTTCAAGCTTTTTGCAACAGTGGGGGAAAAAAAGGGTGTAACTTTTCAGTGTGTGGATGAAGCAAGAGGCAAGTTCTCCTGCTTCTCTGTGGGTATGAAAAGAAAGGGATCTCCTCCATCTTTCCCTTTGTGTGGGGGTAGGTAAGGGTGTGAAGAATAGGAGAGACTGGTAAGAGTTGGACCCTGGGTTACTGAAGTGAGTGTCTGACCCTCCCTGAGACTGATCTGGGTCTCTCTGGCACTGGGTCAGGTTTTGGTAGCTGAGGGCGGGAGGAAATGCTTGGGTCTGTGCTGTGAAGCAGAGGTGTGTCCCATGATTGTGGTTTTGGGGTGCACTCTGGGTGCACTGACTGCAAGGAAGATACCTCTGCTAGGGGTTTTCAGTATCAGACCCCCATTTCTCCCTGTCAGAGGTCCTTCTTTTTGGAGCATGAGTCTGCTATGTGCCCAGGTTTCCTTTAGGAGGAATGGGGATGCGCAGCCTGCTGCTCAGCTCCTGATGCTGAATCAGAATGTAGCCAGCGTGCGTGAGGAGAGCAGAGCTCATGGGGGGCACCACAGGGGAGCTGTCCCAGGGGTTGCCCTGACCATAGGTTGGATGTATATTGGGGTGCATCAGACACAGCATATCCAGCTGGTCAAGAGAGGTGATTATCTTGCATGCTGTGTGCAGTTCTGGCCCCCACAATTTAAGAGAGATATTGAGGTCCTTGAATGCGTCCAGAGGAGGGCAACATGGCTGGTGACAGAGCTGGAAGGCATGTCCTGTGAGGAGTGGCTAAGGACTTTGGGTTTGTCCAGTTTGTAGAAAAGGAGGCTGAGGGGTGACCTCATTGCTCCCTACAGCTTCCTGAGGAGGGGACGTGGAGAGGGAGATGCTGAGCAGTTCTCCCGGGGATCCAGCGACAGGATGCGTGAGGATGGTTCAAAGCTGTGCCAGAAGAGGTTCAGACTGGACATTAGGAAGCATTTATTTACTGAGAGGGTCATCAAACACTGGAACAGGTTTCCTAGAGAGGTGGCAGTTGGACTAGATGATTGTTGTAGATCCCTTCCAACTGAAATTATTCCAGTCTAGTCTGTTCAGTCTATGTGTGCTAATATGAGGGGAATTAAATGAGGCCAGGTTTGTAGGAGATCCAGTGTATTTTGTTATATCAATTCATATATGTGGGAAAAGTAAACAAGCTTTTCAGCACAAAGAAACAACATGAAAACCTACATGAAACTGAGAGCTTGTAATTTGTGAGGGAAATGGTCCTTGCATCAGTGCATATAATGTGAGTATTTGCATGGAGGTAGGCATGTTGTGATTAATGGTAGACATGGTACTGTTCATATTGGAAAGGGCAGCATTAAAAGTGTATATGAGAGATGAGGTTCATTGCAAGTTCCTAGGAGGTGAATGGAGGAAAATATTAAGGGGGACTCTCAGGGATGTGGAGAAGCAGAAAGGGGACAGAGGAGGGCTAACAAGATGGTTAGCGTCTAGAGCACATGAGATACAAGAAGAGGTTGGGGGAGCTGGGCTTGTTTAGTGTGGTGGAGAGAAGGCAAAGAGGCACTCTAATAGCGGCCTGCAGTTACTTGAAAAATAGTTGCAAAAATATCAGAACCATTTTTTTCTTTGTAGTAGCAGATACTTGGTGAGATATATTAGGAAAAATGTTTTCATCAGGAGGAGAGTACAGCCGTACAAGAGGTTGTCCAGAGAGGTCATGGACTGTTTGTTCATCTTAAATGCCATAGGTGATGTGAACTGGTGTTGGTGATAGCCCTGCAATGGGCAGAAAGTTGGACTAAATGATCACCAGAGGTCTCCTGTGTACAACATTTCTGTGAGTCTATGATATATGAAGTAGAGGAGCCTATGGAATGGAGTGTATGATCAAGTATATATTGTGGGACTGTTCTTGGAGAGGTATGTATCTAGGAATAACCAGGAGGATGAGAAACTGAAGTATGTGCAGAAGAGAGTGAAAAGCCAGGTAGGGATAAACATGGTGGTAAGACAGAAGCAGCATAGGGGACTGAAATACTAAGAAATGGTAACAGAAGATCAGGTTTGTGGAGAGGAGTAGTAAGGATGAGTAAGGGAATAGGATAATTTTGTATGATGGAGGAGGATGCACCTGCCTGGGGACAGAGTTTGACGCAACTGAGCAGGAGCAGGGAAGTGTGACACGCTGAGCTGGCGAGTCCTGGGAATGGTGGTGAGGCATGGAGATAGGCACCGGTTGTTGGTTGCCTTGAAGAAAGGTATTCGGGCGTGAATGGTGAAGTAGGGGATGCGTGCAGGCCATGAGGTGCTTCATGGGGATGAAGTGTTTGGGATCGGTAGAGTGAGGCAGGAATGACAAACAGACATGGTGAGGGTGTTGGGTTAGATGGTTGTAAGAGGTGGTCTGGGGTGTAGTGACACCAGACGGGCCTGTATGGGTGTGATGAGGGAGGAGAGCATCGGGAAGCGGCATGTGAGGGGTATATGACCGTGTTAGGGTGAGGAAGGTGTGTGAAAGCCCCTGGCAGGAGGTTGGGTGTGGAGTCGCACCGCAGGGATTGCATGGAGCTACCAGCTGAAGCACGTGAGGGTGCCGCAGCATGAAGCAGATGTAGGGAGAAGTGGCGTGTGTACCGTACAGTGATGGTGGGGAGGTGACAGGTGTCACCACATTGGGGGGGTGAGTAGGTGAGGCTGGAGAAGGGTGTAAAACAGCACGGGGGTGGAGTGGTGTAACGGTTTGGTAGGGTGAGAAAGGTTTGTGAGTCAGGAGCAGCACGGAGGAGGGACAGGGTGGCGGGTGGGGAGGCACGTTGATGCAGCGAAGTGAGATTGGTCTGTAGGGTGCCACGTATAGACTTCTGTGGTGTAGAGAATGTGGAGAGAAAACGTACGGTGTGTAGCTGTGATGAGGGTCCATATGTGTAATAGCGTAGCTGAGGATGTTTTTGTTGGTGTGAATAACGTGTGAAGATGTCAGGGGATGCGTGGGGCATCCAAGGCAGGAGGAGCGCTGGGACCCGCGGGCGAGGGGGTGCTGAGGGGAGAAGGTACCGGGCCGGAGAAGGGGCCGGACTTTGTGCCGAGCGCGGAGCCGCGTCCCTGCCGTGGGACGCGGGTGCCGCCTGTCCCGGGGAGACGCCGCCGCCGCCGCCACCCCCGCGGCGGGGCCGGGCCTCACCGCCGCCTCCCCCCCGCGCAGGCCGAGGCTGCTATAGAGACGCGGAGGACGCCGGCGCCGAGCGGAGCGCGGACATGGTGAGCGCCGGGCCGGGCCGGGCCGGGCCGGGCGGGGAGGGGAGGTGGGTGCAGACCCGCGCTGAGCCGCGTCTCTCCCCCGCAGCCCTTCACCGAGCGCGCCTACTACCCGCCGGCGGCGGGGGGAGCCGCGGCCGGCGCGGGGCCGCAGCCGCCGCCGCCGTTTCCCGCCTTCCAGTTTCGCGGCCGCCATGAGGGCCCGGACTGGCGGCGGCTGAGCGCCGTGGACGTGGGCCGGGTGTCGCGGGAGGGGGACGTGTCGGCCCTGCAGGAGCACCTGGAGCACGTGACCTTCTGCAGCGCCGAGCGGGAGCGCTGCCCCCACTGCCAGGGCCCCGCCGACCCGCTGCTGCTCAAGCTGCTGCGCCTGGCCCAGCTCTGCACCGAGTACCTGCTGCACTCCCAGGAGTACCTCAGCGCCCAGCTCGGCAGCCTGGAGGAGGCCCTGCGAACGGCCCAGGCCCAGCGCGACCAGCTGGGCAAGGAGGTGGCTCATCGCACGCAGGAGATCAAGGGGCTCAAGGAGGAGTGCCGGCGGAGGAAGAAGATGATCAGCACCCAGCAGATGATGCTGGAAGCCCGAGCCAGCTACCACCAGGTGAGAGGAGAGGGCCCGGTCACCCACACCTTGCGGCTCCCGGCTCACCGGGGGCGGGCGGCAGCGCAGCCCCACGCTGCTGGGGTGCCGGCTCCTGCTGGGTGAAAGGCTGGAGCTGCAGGGACCAGTGACCTTACAGAAAGGGAGCGTGCGTTGCTTGCAGGTGCTTCGCTTCCCACTTACATTTCACAGACTGGTATCACAGACATTTGGGAGGGTGCTACATCATCCTTAACAAATCCTCTTTTTTTACTAACAAGTGCTCATTATTCTTCGATTAACTTTTGATGCACCTGAAATGTCAGATACACGCACGCACAAAACCTGTGATAAGCGTATTACTACTTTTTGTTGCTGTCTTTCCTTGCCTGTCAACTATGTGGTCAGTGAACACACAGGGCAGACACATCAGAACTGGTGCGGAGCAGTAACCTACCTGTCTGCAACTTGTCGCTTTCCTTCAGTAAGGTTGCCCAGGCACAAAGTTTCTGCTTGTGTGTGTGACTCAGAAGTGACTCAGGCATGACAGTAAAGAGCCTCAGTAGGGTAACACATCCCTAACTCCACAACAATCTGTTCCTTAAGAGTCTTCTTTAAGAGCCTTAGTATACTGCTGTTCTGACTCTGTGTCATGGCACTCTGGCTTTTTTGGGAGGGGTTTTTGTGTTCTGGGTATAATAGTTTGATTTAAATATTTTTCAACAAGTTTCGGGAATGCAGATTGCACCTTCAAATGTAGTCTGAAGTCCAGAGGGCAGATTGGACACACATGACAAGTTCAGCCTAGTTCTTTGTGTCTATTTATTTACATTTGTAGTTTTCTTCTTTTTATTTATTTTTTTTTTTTAATTCTTGGGATGCTGCCAGTCCTGATTGTTGAAATTCTCCTTAATCATGAAATAGTTGCAGTACAGAACCAATGCAAGTTTTCTTATAGTAAGTACAGTCTTATCCCACAGTATGATACCAATTTCAGCAGGTAGGCAAAATTTAATTTATTAAGACATCAGCTAAGTTGGCTCAAGTATTTCTCTAAGGGAGAAGGTACCTTATGTCCCAAGAGTAGAGCTATACATATGTTAGACTTCATGGGAATCTTGTCTGAGTGCATTAGAGTGTTAGCCTTAAGGACAAGATGATGATGTAGGATCAATTTTAAAAGCCTTTATGCAACTTACAGAGCAGTATGTCTGTCTGGTGTTGCAAAAGAAAACTGGTTGCATGCATCATTTTATGTGTAAATTTAAATAATTCTTATACTGTGGTTGCCAGCTAAATATTACTAAGTTTTCCTGAAATACTTGTAGAATACAAATGTCTTGGTGGAAGCTGGAGACCATGGTAGTGAACTTGGCTTATCACTAAATCTTCTGTTCAGTGGCATTTACAATAGAGCAGAAATAGAAAGCTATTTCAGATTTTTAATTTAATTTCATATAAAGTAAACGTCTGCCCTCCCCCCTTTTTTCCTCTCTGATACTAAATTCTTGTCTGTAGAAGTTATTTAGTCTCATGTGGGAAAAGTGAGTTTGGGGAGTGACATTGAACAGTTCCTACGGTGTTTTCAGGATTCTGAGTGTGAATGCCAGAGATAAATTAAACTCTTCCTAGGGTTTGTGGATTCAGGGCAGCAGTGTGATCAGTAAACCATAATTGTGTATTGCTTATCTGTGCCATGATCTTGGCTGATCTGCAGTGCCAGACAATAGGGGGTTTGCTGGTGTTCCTGAGCGGCTAGTTCAAATTCCATCCTCTCAGATTCCTGTCTGTTTTGCAAACAAGCATGTAAACAATTACTTGCCTTTTTTAGTGGAGGTACACTTTATATCTAGTGTAACCATGCTTTGGAATTAAGATTTAATGCCTTTAATCCACCACCAATGTAAATTTAACCATGAAATACTACTATAAAATGCCACTGGTACCAACAAGTCATAAATTTAAGACTTGTTGGTCAATACCTTCATCTGAGTAATACAAATTTAATTTTAAATAATAATTTTTCACTCTTTTGATACTTTGTTCAGCAATCTTATATTCTCATGGACAGGGTAGGCATAAAGGGCATGTTGTGTCTAACACTGAAAAGTAGTTGCAATAATTCAGAACCTAAATATTCCCTGTGTTAATCCTGTCTCCTGCAGTAAGGTCTGTCTTTCACTACCAGCAAGTCAAACTGACATGAAATTTGTGCTTGAATGGATAACATTATTTCACAGCCAATTTCATTCCATAAATCATGTGCAGTTTTACACTGTAAGCTCCCTCTTGGTTGGCAGCAATGCTTTCCTGTCATACTGTATCTCTTTACTTTGGTTTCATATTATCACTTTTTTGCATTCGTCCAACAAATTTTGTGTTAATAATTCATGGCTTTAGTATTTGCTGAAAGATGTGTTTAATAGGATATCTGACTATCAGTGTCAGTATTTTAAATATTAGATGAAATCTGGGGATTTGATTATGGTGACAAGATCTTGAATCTGTTAAGTCTCTCACAGTCATATCATACTGATAAGGAAAAAGGACTCAGCTGACTATTTGTTGTTTGCTACAGTATACTCATTTGAAAAAACGGTGTGAGAAAGAGGTAACAAGCAACCCTACCTAAAATGATTACGGACTCTGATTAATAGTCTTACTAGTATATTGCAAAATCCGTAGATGTAGCTTCTGCCCTTGTATGACCGATCTGTTTTTGATATTCTGAAGGTTAGTGGGATGTACTTTGAAGATGAACAAAAAAAAAAATCTTTTAAAATGGGTAGGATCCACATTTGACTTAAAATTGAACTTAAATAAAAAAAAAAGTATAGGTACCGTAATTTGAACAGTATTTCACTTCAGAAGGATGCTCGGTATCATACTAATATATATACATATATAGATATATAGATATACCTTTTCTTGCAAAATTGTGTATTGTTACTTTATTTTGGTTGGAATGTCCGATCTTTTTACATATCTATGGTCCTTCTGGTATTGTTATTTTACAATTCATTTATGTATACTCATAGCCGTCTTTGTTGGTTTTTTTCTGACTGTATGGTGCTCTTTTTGCTGTGATACAAGAATCTTAAGAATACCTGAGCACCTAGTTGACTGCAGTTTGTGTGTATTTTGCTGAATAGTGTTGTCGTTTTCCTTATACTTCTCTACCTGTCTATATTCATCTCTTATCTGTGACTTATGTATGAATTTAAACTTACTTGATCAGTCTTTTTTGTGCAGTTTGTACGGTGCTATCACAATGGGATTCTTGCCCCTGAGCATCACTGAGACACATTAAATAACACAAATATACTAATATAACTTCACAGAAATTTGTCATCATGAGAATTTTAGTCATTATTCTTGTGAAATGGAATTTTATTAAAGTTACCTACTTCTGACATCTGGACAAAATGTAATAATCTTAACCACTGTACTTACCAAACAGATGTTACTAGCAATAACTAAAATGTTTTTATCTGCTTTTTGTAGTGCCAGCTTTGTGAAAAGGCTTTTATGAACTATTCCTTTTTACAAAGTCACATGCAAAGGCGTCATGCGGAAGGATCTCAGATTGGTATGTACTTAATGTTATCAATAAAATTAAATAGTTTAGAAAAGTGTAAATATAGTGAGGATTTGCAGTCCATGCTATTGTGTAACTGCGAAGAATTATTTTCATGTTCCATTTTTAGGTGGTAGATACCGATTTGTATGAATGCAGACAACACTGACTGATAAAATGTATTGGGTGACACATGTTTCAGTTTCTGGAAAATAATTAACAAAAAATTGTATGCCATATTTACAGTACCTTTTCAAACTAGTATTTCCACTGAATACTTTAGTCAGCAGCAGAGTTCAGAGCACAGTTTCTCTTTATGCATGTGTGTTATGAAGGTGTGAGTAAAATGAAGTTGTCCTAAGGAGAATAAATTTTGTGAATATCAGTATGTGAATTATCAGTACAGAAATTATCCAGCTCACCTGAAATCAGTTTGAATAGGAATCAGGCTCTCCTGAACTAAACCGACTAAAATGTAATGAGAAAAAGAAACTGTCAAGAATAATCTAAATTCATGTATCTGTGATAATCTTGGTTGCTATACCATGAATTTATATACTTTTTTCTCTCTTCATTGAAAAATGTTTGGTTTGAAAAACATTGCTCTCAAAGTTTGTTTCATTCATCTCTAAATTCTCTCCTTCCTGTTAGGCTGCATGCTTATGATTTATTGCTAAGGAGTAACAAGTATTGACAATTAGAATGATTAGAAATGATTAGGCAGTGATTGGAAATGAGTTAGGAAAAAAGAGCATTTGGGAGGAGAAAGAATGGGAAGAATCTAGCAAGGTCTAAACTGTAGCTTGTCGTGTGAATAAAACAGCAGGAACAGTGAGAGTGGTCTGAGGAAGCAATAATATGTTGGGAGAAGAAGGAAGCTCTTGTGCACTTTACATTTGATAAAAATGGTAGTGGAAGGTGCTGCAGAACCAGTTGAACTAATTATATAAAGAATTTGTCCAAAATGGCTGTACGTGGGAAATAATCCATGCAGTTATTTCTGAAATAATATCTGCATTGTGCTCTGGTTCCCAGATGCTGGGCAAGTAAATCCTTGGTAAAATGATGAAATGTTTCAAGATCAAAGGTTGTTATCATTTTTACATATTTTAACATGTTTTATTACAGTGACATTCCCTCTGACTCATTCCAGATAAATAACGAGTTGTATTACAAATGAACTCCTTATAAAAGTTATTTAGAATAAATTTAACCTAACAGAATTGAATATTTGAGGTTCACTTTGTTCTTCATATGCCCTTTGTTTTGAGCCTGTGTTGCTTAGATTTCTTTGAATTAGATTGTATAATACTTTTTCTTGTAATTATTTCATAAACTGTTTATATGTGAGTAATATCAGTATTTTTCAGTCTTTGAGGATAATAATAGCAGTCCAGAGAACATAGGTATTTAAAAGCATCTTTGGAGAATCATGGTAGTGGGAGGGGTGTCTATGAGAGTCACAGTTCATAAAGGTGTTATTGAAATGCTACAGAAACACATTCACAGTATTACATTTCCAGAAATTACAACAAACATTTTTTTACGTATGTGTTTCTTTCAAACAGAACAGAAGAAGAAGGCAAACACAGACAAATTGCAGGATGAGATTGATAAATTGAAGGAGCAGTTGCAGCTCACCAAGTCTCAGTTAGAGGCTGAACAACAGGCTAATATGGTCAGGTTTTCTAAGGTAATACGTACTGAATAATATGAATCTCTCAAAAGAATTAGTACTTTGAATTGTGTTTGCTCATTTTGTAACTGGAACAGAACAAAGATATTTCTACACTTTGCATGCCTAGCAACAAGGGTGGTTGGGCATTAGAGCATCTCTTCTGCCTGCCCTCCATAATTTTGAGCATCTGCTTTCTCCTTACTTTTGTTTTAGACATACTTTAAATGAATGCTTAAGACAACACTTTTGTTAGCAGTTCATAAGGTAAGCATGATCTGTTATTGAAGCAGATAAAACTGCCTTGCTGTGATGAAATAAAAGCTATTTCTAATATTACGATATTTCATGATGATTAAACATTTCTTATATATGACTGTGATTTTTATATGTGAGTTTATAAACTGAGTAAGATTTATACTTTGCTGTGAAGAAGGCAGTCAAAGAAGTGAGATTGAGAAGAAACAAAGCAATCTAGACCTTTATCCTGGTTTCAGTTGGGATAGAGTTATTTTTTCTTCGTAGTAGCTAGAATAGTGCTGTAGTTTGGATTCAGTATGGGATTTGGTATGAGAAGGATGTTGATAATACACTGATGTTTTCAGTTGTTGCTGAGAGATCAAGGACTTTACAGCTCCTGGGTCCTGCCCGTGTGCAGGTGCACAAGAAGCTGGGAGAGAGCAGGGCCAGAGCACCAGACCCAAACTGGCCAATGGAATATTCCCTATCATGTAACATCATGCTCAGTACATAGAGGAGGGGCGGCCGGGAAGGAGGGGGGTTCTCTCTCACTTCCAGGATTGGGGTTGTGGGATTTTGGTATTTCAGGATCGCTAGCCGGGAACGGGCTGGGCATCAGTCACCGGGTGGTGAACAGTCGCATGGTGCATTGCCCGTCTGTACTTTCTATGATTCTTATTGTCTTATTATATTACAATTATTAAACTGTTTTCACCTCAACCTGCAAGTCTCCCTTTATCCCCTCCAATTCCCTCCCTCATCCCCTGGGTGCAGGGGAGGGTGAGCGAGTGGCTGTGTGGTGTCGGCCAGGTTTAAGCCATGACAACCTTGCATGGTGGTCCTTAAATGCTTAGAATTTGGTTGGCCAGAGAGCCAAATCAGGAAGTAATCTTAGCTACTGCTGTGTGAATAAAAAAGCTTAAAACAAAATGATTTAAAAGCAGTAATTATCTGCTTGTAATGACATGCAAGGCTTTATTTAGGGTAATACTGAGTCTCATGGTAGTGCTTACTGGCTCATAAAGAGAAAAAAAGAGTCTAAGTTACCTCTTTCTGTTTTTTTAAAAGCTTGATAATTTCAGACCATCTCCCAGTTTTAATTTCTGTTTAATTAAATATAATCATATAATATGCTATCAAAATAAGATGGAAATTTTTTTAAAGGGGGGGGGGCTGTGTGATTCACTAAGGAGCAAATTATTGGCATAAGAGACAAGATACTTCTAATGGTTCATTTAGATGTTGTTCTTGGTATTGCAGTTTGCCCTGTGTCACATTCAAAAGCAGGGTTTTGTGGCTGTTAACATGTGAGAACCTTGTTGTAATATATCACCCAATACTCAGAACTTCTCAGTGGAGTTTAAGGACCTTCAGACATAAACCAAACCATTAAGTTTGGAAAGGAACATTACATTTTTAATTTATAGGGAATCAATAAAACGTTGCTATCATTAAATATTTTCTTCCTTGTTTCCAGAGGAAAAGTTGGTCTTCTGTAAAACATGCAGTGTTTCTTTTCCTGAACACAGCTTCAGACTCTCCTTTCTTTGGCCCTCCTGTTCCCCCTCTCCTTGGACCATGGACCATTCAGCTTCCTTTTTTTTTTTTTTTTTTTTTTTTTTTTTTTTCCCCTCCATTTTCAAAAGTAACTGGATGATCCAATGAAGAGTGTGGGTAGTGTTTCCCCTAGGAGTGCTAGCAGGGTCAGAATAATGAGCCTTGGCCCTATGTGGATATCTGCTAGGTAGTCTACTCACTCATTCTGTGCCTCAGTTTTGAGAGGTACACCTATAACATATTTCTCCTGCCCCTGAAGCATTGTTTTTCTTATGAGATGGAACTTAGAGTATTCATAACAGTGGAGTGTAGATTTTTTTGGTGCCTTAGGGGCCTATTCTTAGCTGAGACTTCTAACTACAAGGGGACTGCCTGAAATGTCCTGAAGCTACAGCCTGCAGTGTTACACAAGAAGCTTTCAAAGCTTCTGTGTTTTTCTGGGATGTCAGGGAAGATAGTAATGTGAAGTGTGTCTGGTTGCAGTTTGTCTGTCATGACTGACAGCCACTGTCAACTCAGGTCTCATTATGTTGTTGTCTTTTGATTGAAAGAGCAGGAGATCCTTCCCCTGTGGTTGTGTTTTTGGTTTTGTTGGTTTGTTTTTTTTTTTTTAGAACCACTACTGGAGGGAATTTGGGTAAAAACTGTCAGGTTTCCATTTCTTGGTCCCTTCCACTTTTCTGAGGTGAAAGGATACAGAAGATCCTGTTCTTCATAACTGTACAATGATTGCTTGTTATAGTTAGGGAACAAATTCAGAGTGAATGCTGTAATGGAAAGATGTAGGGGTTGCCTAAAAAGCATGTGTATTCTGGACAGTGAAATGCAGGGCTTTGAACAGGTTGAGGACTATACAAAACTGAGTGACTGGGTAATAGAATGGTAAAAGTAATTTAACAGGTAAAGTGGGATAAATGTGTATGGGGAAAAAATAATTCAAACTTAGCTTAGAACCCATCATTTTGTAGATAAAGCGCTATTACCGAAGGGCAAAATCTTAAGGTTGTGATGCATAGTTCTAGGGAAATGTCAGCCCCGTGGTTAGTAGAATCCAGCAAAGAAAATCAAATATTACAGATTATTCTGAACAATCATTGTGTAAACCACAGTTTAGATACTGTGTGTAGGTCTAGTCCCTACATCTCAAAAAGGTTATGATGGGATTATAAATGTTACGGACTACAAGGATGATCAGTCTGTATTGAGAATGACTGAGCCTGCTAGGAGTTGTCAGTCTGAAAAACAGACCACAGCTTGGTGGGTGTGAAGGGAGAGATACTGATGTCATGAGTTACATAGAGTGAATAAGTATCAATCATTCACTCTCTTTTCCAGTTCAGGACCTAGCATCCATCAAATGAACCCAGCAGGAGCCAGATTCAGACCAAAAAAAAAAAAAAGTACTTGGCTCTTCATGCAACCTGCAGCAGACCTGTGGAGCTCATTGGCAAAAGGTGCTGCAGTTGGTGAAAGCTGAGGCAGCTGCAAGGGACTACTGCAAAAGTGTTTGAGGAGAAATGTATGGAAGGTTACTAAGTTTACAAAGCTGTATCAAGCTGAGGAAGTCCTCTGAGCTGAAAACAGTTGGCAGCTTGGAGACTATGAAGGAGAACCAATTGCCCTGGTATTATCCTTTTCCACCGATCCGCTTATGGCCTCTGTGAGAAACAGGATGCTGAACTAGGTGGATCTTTGATATGACTAAGTAAGGTCATTTGTGTGTTATTCAATGAAAAATAATGAACTACCGAAACTTCTTGAAGTGTACTTGTTTTGCTAGGAAAATGTATAGTTCTCTGCCCCGGAATTGTTCAGAAACCAGTGTTTTTTCATGTTTTTTCATGTCATAATGTTGCCCATTGAAAGTGACTGTTACCCACATGTAGTTGGAGTGCTTGAATGAGTATTGGATGTGGGGAAAAATAACAAGTAATGTTTTAAAAATAATTTCAGGAGTGTGAACAGCAAAAATCAAAAGAAGAAGAAATTCTACAATCATTTCATAAATGGAAGGAGGAGGAAAAAGAGAAATTGGCTGATGAAATAGAAAAAGTGAAAGAGATGTTTATGAAAGAGCTTAAGGAATTATCTTCAAGAAATTCAACGTTAGAAAATGTAAGTAATTTAAATTTTCCAATATTTTAAGGCATGAATCCCTTACAGTAGCTGGTAGTGAACTTCACATATTTGACATGCGATGTAGTCATCTTAGAGGTCTTCTTACAAAACTTTAAAAATAACATTTGAGTGATAGCCATAATTGTATTTTTTGTATACTGGTACTTTATGAACATAATTTCAGTTCTTTTTAAGATAGCATTGTTTTGGATGAATGAATTATGCCTTCAGCAACTAAGTCAGATTTTTGTTACTCCTCAATCTTTGAGTTCTCATTGATATAGATACTGTTGTTATTGCTGTCTGTTAGGCATCCGTTATACTAATATTCTCGTGAGTGGCATGGAGGGGACGAACCTCTGCATTATAGTGCTGACAGCAGAACTCCATATGTTTTCAATAGATGCTTTGGAAATGCTTTCCAGAGTTTTAACTAGAAAGAGAATTGTAAAAGTATAGGTGTGTCAGAACAAATATGTACAGCTTTACCAGCAGCTTATATTTTGTAGCTGATAGTTCCTGTGTATATTTGCAAAGTATATTTATGTTAGATGTCTATATTAATTATTACATGAAACTTGATAAATGCTGAACTTGTGCGAAGTGTCTGATGCAATCTCTGAGAAGTTATGTTTAAAGTAAATTTTTTATTAAATAACAGTTTTAGAAAACAAAATCTGTATGCATATTCAGGTCTTAATTTTTTCCCCCCTTGTTTTAGCAACTGTTAGAATTACAAAAGGCCAATATGCAACAAAAATCTAATTTAGGGACGCTGAAAGACAGCCAAGAATTTACAGAAGAGAAACCTCAGAGTCCTCAGGATTATCACAGTGTGGTTAAACTTCTTGAAAAACAGGTACACTGTAGCTTTTAATGTATTGCTTTTGACAGGCTACTTGTCTTATTTTCATTTTTTTATATCCCCAAGTAGGATTTTAAGTCCATAAGTAAAATTCTTATCCCTCTCAATGTCTAAACAGCTGTTTTTAAAGATTTACTACTATTTAGGATAATGTCTGTAATGAAAATCAAGGAATTATTTCCCTTACCCTTTATAAATAAATTGTTATTTATTTACTGATATTCTCTTATTCTTTATTATTAAATGTATCTAGCTCTAACAAGTATGGTTGCAGTTCAGTTCCAGAAGGCTCTAATAAACCATTTATGTCTGCTGATCTGTGAGGTCACTTATGGAAAAATTGGAATTTTCTATTTTCCAAGGTGAAAAAAAAATGTTAAGAAACTTTCTGACAGGATTTGTCAGCCTGTAGCTGATAAGGAAATAATAATGTCTTATTAACAAGAAGTAAAGCTGCATACATTAAACTAAATGGTAATGTGTTATTAAGAGGGATTAATACTGATTTCCTCTATGCAGGAGAGTAAGTGGACGTCTAGAATACAAGCCCTTCATCATGACCACGAGACAGAAAAGTCCCTAGTAAGTAGCACAGCAAACCACTTAAACTAAAAGGGGACTTTTTTCTTATTTTCTTACACTTTCAGTAGTTCTTGATATGCTATAATGTATCTGTTGGATTAGAAAGTCTAGATATCAAGAGTTTACAAGAGTGTGTCCTCTCAGATGTATTTATTATCTCTGTATTTCTGTTATGCTAGGGTCGTGATGTTTCAGTTAAGGCCCAGGGTTGAAACAGAATTTATAATTTAAGAATCTGACAGACACCTGAAACTGCATCTGTCTTTTGAAAAGCTTACAACTAATTCTGTGAGCACTTTATTATACAGTGTTTTCTGTTTTATGTGGATAGGCTGGATAGTTGAGATATAACTTGTCAACATGTAGCTTTCATCTACCCTGTACCTTCTGCTACCATGGACCTATGGCATATGTCTCAATCTTTTTTTCTCTTTTCTATCACTTCTCTGCTGCTTTTTCTGTTGTAGCTTTCTAACACAGAATCTGTTCAGCTTTTCCAGGAAAAAACACCATGGCATTTTATTTTGCATCAGTTTATATATTTTACTGTACAAATCTTTATTCCTCAGATTTTTATTTTTTTTTTTATGTTTGCATTTCCTTTTAATCTCTTTCCTGCTTTGTTTCTCTTGCTTCCTTTCCTTTCATTTTCCTTTCATCTGCGTGACCATGTAAGAACTGAGCAAATCATAGTGGTCTGACCAATGCTTCTCCTCCTCTGGCAAGAAAGCAGTGGGGAGGAACCATGGAATATTCCCCAGAAAGGATGTAGTTAATGATACACCCACATACAATGCAAGAATAGAATAAGGGAGAAGTAATGTAAGTATTACTTTTGGGATGGTGCACCTAAAATACTGTTCTCTTTCTTCTGTGTTCAGAGCTAATATATTAGGTTTATCATGCAAATTCACATCTCATCTCCTTAAGACAGCATTACTTGACACTTTTTATAACCAAAACCTTTTTATAGAATTGTGTGCTTTTTCCTGCAATCTTATTTTTAGTCAATCTCAGCAATGTGTTTGTATGTCCCTTTGTTTGTACTGAGATTTTGGTAGTCTTTGTGTAAATAAAAAGTGATCCAAACAGCTGTTTTGTAATACATGCAAGGCCCAGTGAACTCGCAGGAGACATTAAGTTTTGCTGAAAAAAATGTTAAAAGTATTTAAGCATGACACTTGCTTGTTTAAACTTTATAGCATTTAAATATTTTATATAATATTAATATGAAGTTACTTTTCTTCTGATTGCCTTCTAGCTACTGTCACAGATTGAGAAGCTTAAATCATCAGTGAGAGAAGACCTGAATAAAAATAACACCTTTTACAAGAGGAGGATAGAAGAATTGGGGCAGAGGCTTCAGGAGCAGAACGATCTGATTATTACTCAGAAGAAGCAGGTCTGTTTTGAGAAGTACTCCAGAGAGCATATGACACAGATAAACATTTTACTAGCATTTGGTCTTCGATATTCTCTGGTTGCATATTTAATATTCCAAATTTGTAATAGTATTGCTGTAATATTTGGGTTACAGTTTGGAAATTATGTTGATAGAGAAGAATAAATCTGGAAAAGAGACACAGGAATGTAAACCAGGATTTAAAACACAATTTTGAAGGAAAGGCTTAATAAGCCAAATGTTTTTAATAAGTTCAATGCAAAGTTAAAAGATTAGTAGGTCACAGTCAAAGACCTCTACAGATGAAAAATTTCTGATAGTAAAAGGATTTAATCTGCCACAAAATAATAATGAAATCTGGCGTTTGAAATCTGTAAATATGTTACTTCTCACACTAAAAATAAAGTATCATATTTATTGCTGGAAGAATAATTAATGAAATTATTACCGTATGAAGTTTAACAAGAACAAGTGCTGGATTCTCCACCTGGAACAGGGTAATCCTGGTTATATGTACAAATTGGGGGACGAGAGGCTGGAGAGCAGCCCCATGGAAAGAGATCTGGGGTTTTGGGTTGATGGCAAATTGAATGTGGGTCAGCAGTGCCCTGGCAGCCAAAAGGGCCAGCCATGTCCTGGGGTGCATCAAGCACAGCATAGCTGGCCAGCTGAGGGAGGTGATTGTCCCGCACTGATGCGGCCCCACCTTGAGTACTGTGTGCAGTTTTGGGTGTCTCAATAGAAGAAGGACATCAGACTACTAGAGTGTGTCCAGAGGAAGGTAGCCAGGATGATGAAATGTCTCAAGGGCAAGACTTACTAGGAGTGGCTGAGGTCACTTGGTTTGTTCGGCTTGGAGAAGAGAAGGCTAAGGGGTGACCTCGTTACTGAGGGGTGACCTCATCACAGTCTACAACTTCCTCAAGGGGAGCAGCAGAGTGGGAGGTGCTGATCTCCCTCTGGTGACCAGCGATAGGACACGGGGAAATGGAATGAAGCTGCATCAGGGAAAGTTCAGACTGGGCATTAGGAAAAGGGTATTCACTGAGAGGGTGATTGGTCACTGGAACAAGCTCCCCAGGGAGCCTGTCAGGGCTCAGACAGCATCTGGACGATGCTTTTAGCCATACTGGTTTAGTTTTAGGCAGTTCTGTGAGAGGCAGGGAGTTGAACTTGATGATTCTCATAGTCCCTTCTGACTTGAGATAGTCTATGATTCAATGAAATTACTTGTTTGAAAATGAATTGGTTTTTCTTAAAAATGTACTTTTGTTCGAACATGACTACTGATTTTTTTTGAGGTAGTTGGTGGGTGGAGGTTTGGTGGTCCGTACAACCTATTCCTCTATTAGATGATGTGTTCTTTACAAATCAACATCTAATTTTACACTTTCTTTCTTGAGGTCAATGCTAAACATATATTTAAGTGCTTACAGAATTGGAGAGACAAATAATAGCTTTTATGTCTCCACCTCAACAAATTTGATAGCTGGAACTATAAAGGACCTAATCCTAGACAAATTTCTTGCAGTAAAGTGACATTTTAAAACAGAACGGTATGACCACAGATGTGAAATAGTTCAGGAGGATCTTAGTTTGGTGTTTGTGGAATAAAGTTGTGAAGATCTACATTCTCAATCCCTTGAAACTGGAAGGGGGTGAGAAATAGCTAACACTTTTGTAGAATCCAAACTGAATGGTCAGTGAGCCGCGGCACTACTGGCTGTAAGCAAACTGATAAATAGAAGAGGACCAGGGTCCAATATCTTGTGTGTGTCTGTATGGTTTGAGCTTAGCTCCTGTTTGGGGAATTGGAGTGCAGGCATTGTTTTAATGATCAAATTACAGCCAGCTTGTTTCCTCTATGCTGTCAGTTTTGGACAGTGCATGTCTTGGATGTCAAATAGGCAAAACTGTAGAGCAGACAGAACTGTTCATAGTTTTAAAATCAGTGTGTAATTAAGTGTTTTCCTGGAGTGGAGCTAGACTTGCAAAATTGAACGTGAATTGCTGAAGCGGAAAGTATTGAAACTTAAGTGCTGAAGTGGCCCATAAGCCCAATCTCATTTCACTTTATAGCTTGTAATAACAGGGTGTACAAAGCATGAGTTCATACAAGACAACAAACAGAAATAAATCTTCAGCATTCATTAAACATGAATAAAATATATATTAGGCAGTAGAATAGAGTTCCACAACAGTAGTGTTTTTCTCCCCAAATCATAAAGAGTAGTTTTTGCTATGGAATAGTACTGAAACTATGTATTTTGTACTGAATGTTCATTTCTAGATACTGATCATTTACATTTGTAGCTATTCATGTATCTGTCGTTTCTCTCTTAGATAAAAGAACTGTCCACAAGATCAGTTGCAAGCATTAAACCATATGATGGTAAGTACAAACTGTAAGAAGAAGCAGATTTTGCTTCTGATTGCAGCAGCTTGGCTGAAAGAAATGTTACAATTCATTCAAAAATATAGACATCTACTTTACTAAATGAAATTGAAATCAAATCAGTACTGGCAATTTACTTGTGGTTCACAGGGTACCTACCTCTCTCCATGCTGTGATTTGGAAAGTTCGTGTTTTGCAGCTATAAGGACTTCTAATGTACAAAGTCAGTCACTTGAGTAGTGAAGAGATGTGAAATATAGCAACTCTATTTTGTATTATGTAAACTTTTGGCTTTGCTTTATGAAGTGTAATTTTAATTGTTTTTTCATGCCTGACTGTCCTTAGGCTGCAGAACTCACAAAAGGGAAAATACTGAAAGAGTATACAAAATGATTAATTTTTCTGTTAAGATACAGATGTTCAAAGAATTTTACGAACTCTGATATATTTGTCTGTGCAATGCTTTAACATCTGGAGTCCATTACAAATACCTACACCTGGTAATAATGTTTTAAGATGCAGTCCTGCACCACAAACACCCATATAATTGACGCTGCAGTTGCAGTGACTTGAAATAGGTTTATTGCAATAGATGATGACAGCTGAATTCATTCTAATTCCAGTTTGGAACCCATCTTGATCTATTAGTAAGATATTGGCTTGAACTGAATCTAACAGCAGGGAGTGGCTTAGGAGCTGGTCACATTCAGCTGCACTGAAGCACAGACAAGGATCCGACCGTGGCACACAAGCAAGTTTGCTCCTAGGCCCCAAGCTGATCTGAGGAATGTAGAATTACAGTGATAATTCACTCCAAGGCTACACTCTGTACGTGATATAGATAGGGTTTGCTCTAATTTAGATGAAATGAGGGTGCAGCAAATCCTCTTTGGGGAATACAAGCCTCAATCAGGCTGGACTTGACTAAGTAGCTTTGAGTCAAGGCTTCTTCCCTGGATCACAAAGACAGCATACAGAAGTGACCAAAGAGGTGATCACATTCCAGTTCAGAGATGATTTAGTTACTAGTTTTTTTCATGATTCTGGAAGTATTAAAAATGTTAAACATACGTAGAGATGTACTTCTGTGTTGTGAAGGACCATTTTTTACTTTGTAAATTATTTAACTTTTACCCCATTAAAGCCAAAAAATACATGATTTATAAATATGATTAAATACCTATACATTTAAGAATCTGTATATGCCTGTTATTGTTTACTATAATGCACTTACATTATTTTCTACTTCTATGCTGTTTTAGTGAACACTACGGTAGAGCCTCTTGAAGAATCTAAACCAAGTCTACCAGTGATGCATGGTGAGTTGTTTTTGATAGGTCCAGATCCAGTACTTTCAAATCTAACACTCTGTCTTCTCAAATGTGTTGCTTGTCAAATCATAGCTGTAAGAGTAGTTATACTGAAAGAATGTAATTTCAGTTGCTTTGCTGTGTCAGTACTGAGAATTCCTATCACGTAATTGTAAAGGTGCGCTATTGAAATGAATAAATGAAAAATAAAATAAAAGAATTTGAGAATATTTCCTAGCACGTGTATCTTATTGAAGCACATTAAGGTGAATGAAACAGAAAATAAAATTATGTTTTCTTATAGCATGTACTAGAATTTGTACAGGGAAGTATGTGGAGATGTTTGTTTATAAGTCTTTAAATACTGTATTTTTCATGTGACATTGAATGGCAAGGAGGAAAAATACAGAAGAAATAATCAAAATAGACAGTCATTCTGTCTAGATAGTTCTTCCAGAGTGTGTCTGTAGTTACATATAGACCATTATTTAGCTATTTTAACTTGTGGCATTGTGATACTGTTTAGAAGTGAGGGGAAGGGATGAAACTCAGTTTACATTTTGTACTATGTGAAAATATTTTTTTTCTCAGTATGCAAAGTAATGGAGAGTATTGTTACCCTACCAATATTCTGCAATCAGTTAATTCTTTATTTTCTTTTTAAGAAGCAAAGTAATGAAAAATAAACTTGGAGCAAGTAAAATGTTTAAATGTTGGAAAAGTTTATTAATTTGAATTATTGAATCCTAATTAAATAATGGGTTTTTATTATATTTCTCTTAGTTTTAAAACATGTCAAAGGGAAATGAAATGGAATTTGTCTAAGAAAAATGTACACAATTTTTCTTTTTCAACAAATTCAAAGTCCTGGAAAGGTATATGGGGAGAAGGAGCAGTATACAATAGAAGCTTTCAATAAGTTGATGAAGAATGAAAAACTGATGAATATGAAGTGTTGTTGTAACAAGAATTATTAAACAAAGGAAAATAGTTTTTATTTATTATATGGTAGCATTATTTGAATAATGCAGAGATTTCTTTCTAACCTGTGCAAGGCTAGTAGTTAACTGCTTGAAGCTTTTTAAGTGAAGCTATATAGATGAAGTGTTGTGTGGAGAAAAGTAATAATATATTAAATATAGATTATTAGTAATAGTATTTTAAATAATCTAATTATTTTTCATTCAAACCAGCTTCGTTGCACCAGCACAATAGTGCTGGTTCTGGCTAAGAAATCTCACAGCAAGTAACTTAGCTATTGCCCTGAATTTAAGAAACAGGTTTCATGAAGAATATTGCTGCTAAGGGCTTACACACCAAGCTTGTCAAGCATTGGTTTCTTAGTGCATGTGCTTTCATTTGTACTGGGGAGGAAAACAGTTCTGTGAACATGAGTATTTTCTGTACTTTGACAATTTGAATCAGCTCATGCAGATCTTTCCTGATTTCTTATTCCTCCAAATATGTTTGTGACACCTTGTGAAACTTCTCAAGATAGAAGAGGCTGTTCCTGCCATTGATATACAAAAGATTCACTATCAGTTTATTATGAAACCTCAAAGAAGGTGTTTCCTTCAGATTCCTTTGCTGATGATTATTTTATTTATCTCTGCAGGTCTCTCTGTCTGTCCCCTTTATTCCCTTCTGGATTTTTTTTAAACTTATCCTACACAATTTCTGGATATAAAGGTTAGCAGAAGTTATAGTGTCTTTCCCAAAATTTTCAGGGCTCCTCAAGGGATTGACTTGCATACTGAATTAAGACATCATGGCTGTGTCTCATGCCATTATGAAAATGAAAACGCTTGCTGGTAACTTCTGTATGCAAATTTACTTAGCACAGAGCATCTCTGAAATCACAAGAGCTGTAGTTTTCCTACCAAACAATTGCCTGCATATGGAATCTCTCTTTTTTTTTTCCCTTTTTTTTTTTTTTTTCTTTTTTTTTTTTTTCCTGTTTGAAAGAAAATTAAGTCTGGAAAACGCTCTCTAATGTGACCTTAAGTACACTTTTCAAAGTTGCTTGGAAGCTTTTGTATCTTAATATTTGTTTGTTGCATCCTAAATCTGTGTTATGAAAAGACACCCAAATTACAAATAAGGTATTTTAGGTGTAAAGTAGTGGAATAACTGTGTTAGTCTGGTGCTTTTGTGCTAATGATCCTAATTTCTTGTGAGAGCTAATACTGTGCCTTGAATGCCATCCTGGCTGACCATTTTTCTGTCTGTTTCTGAGCTAGCTGTAGGGCTTTGTGCAGATATAACTTAAGTCTTATTTTCAAAGATTACTTCAGTCTCACAAAAAGGTAACAGGTTAATTATGATTAAAAAAAATGTTTTGGCTCCTATATTACTCTTGAAATGTTGATACTTGTTCAATGTTTAATCTTTGTATGATCAATAATATTAGATAAAATTGAAGACAGTAGGTAAAAAGCAAAGATATTAATTAGATTGCCCATTAAAACCTATGTCTCGGTCTTCAAACACAATGCGAACTGAGGCCCAGCTATTATTAGGGACATAGCTGAAGCACCTGAGGAAAATTTAGTCAAAGTAGCCCTCCTAGACAGTTAACAGAGAAAAGGGGCATCTTCGGAGTTTGGTTCAGCTGAACTAAGATCTGAATTGCTCTTTGAAGTTGTCTGTGTCTCTTCGTTGACTGTAGGAGTCTGAGATGACTAGGCTTCTAATTTAGAGGCCTCAGGTAAGTGTCAAAAATTTATCATATTTAAGAATATTCATTTAAAATTTATATTTTTGCTACTTATGTGCATTGTAAGGCTTCCCATTGATTAGTTAGGAGAAAAATATACAAAGTGCATTGACTCAAAGACGATGGTCAAAATTGCAGGTATCACAGATTAAGTCTGGCAGCTTTTTGGATGTGAAATTTGAGTACAAATTAAAGGAGTGTAAAATTACTATAGCCATGAATTACATTCCTTACATCTTTAAGAAGTGCAGGAATTTACAGCAAATAAGTTTTATATTTTATCCTAGGTTTTCATATTGCAAGTGCACAGTGCTGACTGTAGGTGATACTCCACTATAGATAATTGTAACACTTCTGTTCGGACTAAAAGTTCTTTAGCATTTCATATTTTGGAGCAAATAGGCAGAATTTCTCCTTTAAGTGTTGGCCAGAAGACTGCTTTTTCAATAGTACTGTCAGAATATTGGGGTTTTTTTAAACTAGTCAATAAGAACAGACAAATAATATATGATATGCTTGAAATATACACAGCCTGGATTCTTCATTATTGTGAAATATATTTTCCCATTCCACCTGCATAGAAATTGTCTTCAGATATTATTTAAAACAGATATTTAATGATTTGTCAAAGCATGCCAGGCACATAATTTTTCAGTAGTATCATAAGCCACTGAAGAAATTAAGGCAACCTGTACTTTTTATATATCTCATCCATCTTTCCACACATACTAGCTGGCAGAAGAGATATTCTGGAAGATGTGGGACAGCAGACACATCATTGTGGAGGTCATCTTAAGGTTGCTGGCCTTACCGATGGCTAGTATTAATATGGCTGGATTCAGGCCAGTGAGAGATGAGTATGACCAGCCTGTGTGGACCGGTGTTGGAAGCTGCTATTTAGTTTGGTTCAAGCCTGAGGCTGACAGGACCCGTTCTTCTGAGGCTAAAGATAGGGCTAGGTTTGGGACTGAGGTTGGCTAATGACATATGGGGAGGACGTGTCTAGGATTTGCCACTGGGCCAGGTGTAGGATTTAGCAATAACGCTGTTGGGTAGGGTCAGGTGTGGGACTGTGGGGGAGGACTGAATGAATCAGGTTTGAAGTTAAGGTGGTTCATGCCAGCAGAAGTAGTTGACTTATGGCAGAGTCTGCAAAGGGCTGGTATCACCCAGAGACATTTGGTTATTGCTGAGCCAAAGTTTGACAGGGATCCCTGAATTTGGGTTAGGATTAGGTTTAGACAGACATCAGTTGGAAAAGAGAATTATGATGTGTTAAGAAGGATCAATTAAGTCAGGTAGCAGCAACAGAGCCTGACTGAATAGGTTTAAGTTTGAAGTTGAAATTTATCTCTATTTTATAGCCAAGAAAGCGGTGGAGATGAGAGACAGGATTCAAATTGCGTCAATGAACAAAGTATAACGGAGATTGCATTTGAATTGCAAGACTGATGTAATCTTCAGTTCTTCTACTACCCTGGTTATCCAAAGCAGGTCATCTTTTGGAGCACAACATGCCTTTTGCCTTGCTTCTGCCTCCAGGGATCCCCTTCCAGTAAGGAACTGAGAAGTGACTAGGAGCAAGTAATTTATTTCTAGGTGTGAGTCCAAAAGGGAAGATAGCAGTCTGCCTAGGTTCAACACTCGGGCTAGGATGAAAGCCGGGTGTAAGATCCTGGCCAGCAAGGTCTGATGTTGAAGAAGTTGATGTAAAGTAGTGTCTGCTAGGGTCAGCTGAACTAGGTTTAGGGCTGGTAACTGACAGGGAGGTAAGTGGCTCTACTTAAGTCAGATGTTGTAGTGATTACTTGTTTAAGGCTAACATTTGATTGTGGCTTGGTGAGGTTTTGGGCAAAAAGGTTGGGTGAACTGGAGGAGGTTACAGTAATTCAAAGTAGTTAGGATTTCAGCCCGCATCAGGAGCATTGTTTTAGATTTGAACTTGGGAAAAACTGCTTTGTACTGATTGGAGGTCTAGTTGGGGAGTCAGACTTGGATGATTCCTAAAGGTAAGTTTGGTAATATTTAGATGCTGCTGATTTCAAGGATGTGCACTAAGGTAAGAGCTGAGAGGTCTGATCAGTTGTCTAGAAGCATCACATCTCTGATAAACATAAGGAGAGGGCTCCTTAAGGGGGGTGATCACACCTGTGTATAAACCAGAGGAGTGGTGAACCAAGCCACTTCTTATATTTGATTCCATTGATGTTGAATAAATATCTCTTAGAATACATGTGCGGTAAAGAGAAAGAAAAGGCCCACTTAATGTTGGAGAAGTTGGTGTTTCCAGATGTTGTACTCTCTTGTGTCTTAGCATTCACTTTCCTCAGTTGTCATGCAGTGAACATCAATATTACATGTAACAGTAATACATTTTGGTTTTGCTCTTGCAACTATTCTTTTACTGATCTTTAACCTCCTCTGTTTCTAGTATACTGAGGAAGAGAAGCATGTACCTTTATGACAGATCAGCAGACTCTTTTCAGGTCTGAGCTCTGGGGACTGGGCTTTTCCTGTTAAGTTACTTGACAAGGGCTTGTGCAGAGATGAGTCAGCTCCTTTAAGCAGATTGCATTTGAGTAAAGTACAGGTAAAACAAGTATAGATTAAATCCAGTTACACAGCAACTGATTACTGTCTGGTATGTACAGCCAAGAAACTCGGAGGCCTCAACGCCTGTGCAGCTAAATTAAATCCCCCCAGAACAGCTCATCTGTGCTTCAGGCTCTGTCCTGCAAAACGGGCTCACTGCAGGCTTTTGGGAATGTTCCCAAACTGTGCCTGAACATTGTATTGGGGAACGTGAGTTGGTGGAGGGCAAGTGTGCCAGGAGCAATATTGTGGAGTCATGTTCCAGTGCTCAGGAATGCTCTGGCCGCTGTTAAATTTTACAGCTTTCACGACTGAAAGACCAGAAGCCTATTTGTCTCTCAGTTTGGCTTTTAAATGTTTCCATAAAATATATTGACATTTGCATCTTGTGGTGGTGTAAGAAGCATTTTTTTTATAACTTCTTACTTAGTGCAAGTTATATGGGAGCAAATCTTAAGTCTGGTAACCTGCTTGGAAAAGCAGGCGAGAGGCTGAATATAACCACAAGTACGGAAAGCATGGAGAGAGCAGCTACTATACCCAAGCATTTACACCACCAGTTTTAGTCCCCTTCACACGAGGAATATTGGAGATGTGACGGTAAGCGTCACTGAACTCCACGTGCTCCTTTCACTGTGATTACCCATCACAGTGCATCCGTGTTTGTACCTAATGTACGAGAAGTGAAGAGCAGGCATTTTCACTGCAGCATCGCCTCCTCCCCTTCTACCCATACAGCATAACAACCACGTATAGTGCCAAAGGCTTCTTGGGAAGGCTGGGGCCAATGTATGTTGTCTCAAAATATTGGCCAATAAATTGTTTTCTCCTATACTGACTGTAGTTGAATGCTGAAAGTATAGTTTGTACACATCTGTTCTTATTATGAAACCTAGAAGAAAATATAGTTCTAGTTTCCATTGAAAGAAAATAATTTATGGAAGGTGAATATTAACTATTTAAAAACCTGAATTTTTATTGGTCTGTATATAAGCATTTTCATGCATCTCTTATCTGAAGTCCATAAAGTTGTAAATAAACTGTACTCTGGCTTCATTTATATAAGGCAAATTGTACCTGACAACCTATACAATGACAATTTCAATGTGTTTAAGAAGCTGTGTTCAGCAGAGAACACTTAAAGCTTTTTTTAAAGCACATGATAATACTGAATCGCACTATATTGGAGTGACTGAAGATTTTTTAAAATTAGTTTTATTGGAAATTATTATTCATATGTATATGTATATAGAAAATGTTTTGTACATATGGAATCAGTACTTAATAATTCTCTGGAATAATGAGTTAACATATTTTTTTCCATATATTTTTGAGGATTTCTATGTTTGTCCATTTTACTTGCCTTTAGTAAACTTTTAGTATCAAATTGTGCATAAACAGTATTTTAAAATAAATTTAAGAATTAAAATGCTTCTTATGGGAAATGAATGACAGTATTCATTTACTTAATCCTAGGTGTCCTTGTCATTGTAGATGCCTAAAAGCATCCCACCTGGCCTCTGGGTGCCATTCCAGAAGGGCACGGGTTTTTCTGTAGTTGTGTGACCTGTCAGCCAGCCCTGTGCTGATGGCTTGAAACTCTGATATATCTGAGATGACACTAAGCACCCATGTTTGGGCAACTGCATTGCTTCTGAAGTGACTATTGTATTAGGGTCTCCTCTACTAGAATGTACCCCCAAGTCAGCGAAGAGTCACATTGCGTTGGGTTTGTGATTAAGCAGATTGTCAACAATCAGGAAAATTGACATCAGTGTGTTTTTTTTGCTTAACTTTCCCACTCTGGACCTTGACCTTCTTCTGTCCTGTTTGTCTGGTGTTCCTGTTCTTCCTCGTTATTAGAGCAGGCACCCTTGGTGCATATGCTGGAGCCCATAGAGGAGCTTTCAGAAGAGGAAAAAGGTAATGGTTGATTCAGCTCAAAATATAGCGGCATGTATTTCTTGAAAATAAAAAGTAAATATTATTTGGTACCGACAGTATTTTTGATTGTATTTCAGTATGCTTATGTGATTTGGGTGGGAACATTCCTTGTTTGCGTCAGTCTCCTGTTTGATATCGGTGCTTGCAAATATTATGATTTCCTTATCCAAGTTCAATGTTTTTATGAAAATCTGGCTCACTCTTTAAAGCAGGCATGTTCCATAGGTCTAAAGTCACCTGAGCTAAGCAGAGCAAAAGTGTTTGATGGGGAATACCCCTTTACTAGGAATTTTTTTGGTGCTGATGCTATTGCAAAGTGTGCTTGCTTTTTCTTCAAACTCTGCGTAAGAGGATAAGGAGTTCAGATAGAAGGAGGAAGTTGGTGGTGGAGCTTGAAGCTGCCTGCTTTCATAAATGCACCAAAGATACTTTTGCAAGTACTCTAAGTTGCACCTACCTCCAAGCACCCACGGCTCCAGCCAAGATTCTGCAATTCTGAATGAAATTATGAAGCCTGGTGTTGGCAGCTGTTCTGCTTCATCAGAGGAGAACTTGGAGAAGGCCACATGTACAGTGACCGTACAGAAAGCATTGGTTCATCCTGCATAGTATTCTTCTCCTGAAGAAGGCCAACAGTGCTTTAGATGGAACACCAAATAGCTGAATAGCCTGATAATCTGTAGTGTGTGCAAAAATCAAAATTGGTATTGAACCTTATAGCCAAGAAGTTTAAATTTTGAAGGAATGATGCTGTTCTGAAAACGAATTTGTCATTTGAATACATCTGTGCATAAGTGAGAGGTTTCTCCAGGGAAAATTAAGTGACTGGACAATCTGAAATAAAGACTGCTCACATTTTTGCCATTCTTTCTGCTATTTGTCTTGCTTGCCATTTTCTCTCTTGATGGATTGTCTTTGATTCTTCTGCTGTGCCTAAAGGCATGGCCTGCAGTAGAAAGAAAAAGAAAGAATGCAGTCTGAAAAGATAGACCAAGATTTTTGTGTTTTCGGTGACAGCCATTTGTAAGGGAGAGTGTGAAAATTCTTGACTTGGCACATTATTTCCTAGGATTATGTAGGAACTGAGCCAGTGGACCAGACTTAAGGTCCCTTATCTCCAAAGTTGCTAAATCTAGTATTCAGGATTTTTTAAAAAAACAAAGATCAGTAACAAGACAGTTCCTTAAATAGTTGACTCCAGCAAAGAGGATTTGGCTTGAGTTACTTAGCCAGAATTAATATTGTTATTAATTAGGATAATGCTGCATAGTCTTGTTACCCATATTTTAGTATGTAGTAATTACGAATTTTTGAATTAATTTAGATCTATTTTATTGTAAGGATTAACATCTGAATGGGACAGGATTTTCAGAAGGCTCCTTGGAGCCTTCCACTTTAAAATGTCTCATGTTTGGCTTTTTGGGAGGATTTCCTACTGCATAATGCACCTTTTTCTGCCTAGTCTGATAGCCCTGTTTCCTCACCGACCAGTAGTTTGCCTCTTCTAGGACTTGGCACTCTAGCCAAATCACTTTTAATCCCACTCCTGTCAGGGACGGAGTTGTCTACAGAGTTCCCAAAACCAGGAAAGATTTCAGCCAAATTCTGTCCTCTTCAACACAGATCTGTTAGTATGGTAGCTGGGCTCTCTTCGATTTTTCATTACCTACAGTTCTCTCAAGGATCCATCGGAAACTACTTCATCAAAACAACCTAAATATCTTTTGTGTATCTTGAGCTTTTTTTGGGTCGTCTTCAGGGTGCTTGTATTTCCCTTAAAGAAAAATCAAAAATAAATGGAATGACTTTTTAAGCAATCATTGTTGAAAAATAGGAAAAGTGGCACATTTGTTTTGAGAGAAAGCATTTGAAAGTCACAATATGGAATTATTCCTTCAATTATGTCCTTGTCTGTGGGCTGCCAAATGACTCTGCTGCCCTGTAAGGCATACTGGAAAGAGACAGACTCCTCCCAAGGTTTACATTTTATTTCAGGGGTGAAGTTGGGAGTGTGATTTACAGCATGCTTTCCTGGGATGTCGCATGTCCCTCTTTGCAGACCACTGCCAGACAGAAGCAGCTACCACGGTCCCAGGGATTATTGGTTCACTTGGTATAAGTGGCATTCAGTAAAATTTTGTCTTACCAGAGACACTTTATAGGCAGGTTCCAAATGGGTGTGTTTGCTTCTTTACTCCCCTGTATGACCCCATAATACTTTGGCCTAACTTAAATGTCAGTCTTTAATTTAGATGGAAGAATCTGTCTAGATGATTCTTTATTTCTTGCATAAGAGTTCATGTCATTACTGACACTTAAAGCAAGGGAAAGAGATAGAAACTTCTTTATCTGCTTTTAAGTATGTATGATGTCATAGACCTGCATAGAAGAAAACACGGCACTGAACTTTGTCCTTGAAAGAGTTTTGAAGACAAGTACTATCCGTCATGTATTTTCTGTGAAACAGTCTGCTTCAGACTAAGGTTTTGTCTTTACCAAGACTTTTGAAAGTGTTACAACTTTACAAAGATGTGATTTCAGTAGGTGTGTTTTATCAGAGAACTTTATGTTGTTTAAGCTTTTCTTGAGAACAAGTTTGTCATATTCCTGTTCTAATTCCTGCTAGGGTTCAGCTTTGATTTGAAACACCACTTTTAGAAAACTTATCAGAGATAGTCCTTCTTTATCAGAAGTTTCCAAGTACAGTTCTAAAAGTAAAGATCTTTGTTGCTAAATATTCAGGCAGGTATCTTTACAGTGATTCTGTAACAAGAGAAATAAAAGATATTTGTGATGATGAATAAAAGATGCTGAGGTATAGATTCCAAGTGAGCTGCCTTTTGTAAGTTAGCCCAAGATTTTAAAAAGAATACAACTCCATGAAGACAAAAAGTGTGCATGTATGTCTATGGTGCTACTAAAAAAATGCATGTTTCAGTGCAGTTTTTAATTGTCTCATGCACTGTGGATTTTTCAAATGTCTCTTAAATGCATTTTTCCATTCTTATTTCAGAAATGGAGAAAGGTGATCATAAACCAGGTAGAAGTAACCACTATTTAATAAATGCTTTGAAGACTGATCCTTCTTTAACTAAAGAATTACGAGTTGTTTTGGAGCAAGCCCTGGAGGAGAAGCTGGAATCCTTGGGAATTAAAGCAGTAAGATCATTTTGAGTTATTTAAGAAGATTAATCTTTGTCCCACTTCTATGCTATTCTCTTTCATTCTTGGACCACAGCCCCTCAACCTATAAAATCCAAAGCTACATTTCCATGTGTAATAAGTGTAATTCATTAACCTGAGAGGATATCCATCAAGTTACAGCTGCGGAGGATATGGCTACACCTGTGAGCACTGGTACCAACTCCTGTGATTTTTCTACAAGCTTTGTGATATTTGAAGTTTAAAAGAGTGTATATGATTGTAGGATATAAATCCCAGAAGTAATAGCCCCTGTGTTTACAATACAATTTGTTTCTTTAGGGTGTTCGTGGTATCCCAAATGATCGCTTAAATAAAATTTTGCGTGCTATTGAATCTGCTAGAGAATGCAAACAGAAGCAAGAGCCTGACATTCACCGAATTCGAGAGCATCTTGAACGCCAAGTTAGCTTTAGGGTTGAAGAGAAATCATCATCTTGTAATAGACCTGTTTCCCATCCTCAGCTTCCTTCAGAAGGTTAAAATGATTTTGGTTTTTTGTTTTGTTTTGTTTTGTTTTTTTTAATTCTCTTACATTTTATAACTGCTGTTTAAGGTTTTATTTAGCAGCAGTTCTGTATAGCTGCTTTTGTAATTTTTCATATACATATTCTATAGAGCTATGTCCAACTAAACAGTTTCCTTTAAAGGGTTCTTGATGTTGTGTTTAACTGCAGAAATCTTAGCTCCTATATTGGCAAGATACATGGTAACTTTGATCTGTCTTTGAAGAATTACTTTTTTTTCTTTTTTTTTTTTGGTAAAACTATAATGTGCAGCAGAGACATCTTTAATTTTATAAACTAAATATAAAAGGTACCAAACATTGTTTCTAATAGTGAGATAGATAACTTATCTCATAGATAAACAGAAGTGCAATCAATTGAGAATTTCCTCATCTGCCACACCACAAAAGCCAGTAAAAAGGTCTTCAACAACTGTCCGCCCAGCTGAACAAAGAACAGCCATCGCTGACAATACATCTACACCAAAGTAAGCAATGCTGTTTTCATGGTGCTCATACCTCAGGTAACAATCCTATGGGTTTGGGGTTTTGTGACTGATGTGAACATTTCCTGCTAATCTTGTAAGAATTGAGCAAAGAATTCACATTACTTTATATATAAACTTTATGCTTACTTAGTTGACTGTCAGTCTTGAAATAACTTGCCTTGTTCTTTTTAGATCCAGGAAGCTTTTTGGAAATGGAGTTTCCAGAAAGACATCTAGCATCACGTATGTTTTGTTCTCTTGTATTTTTGAAGAAAACATGAATATGGTGACTGAATATTCACATACTTGCCACACAAAAGCTATCATTAAGCTAAAACTATAAACACTTTCTGGACTGCATATTTCATATTTTGTTTTAAAGTATTATTCCATTTATTACTCCATTCTATTCCATATAATTGGTGAAAGATAGCATATTCTCCTTTCAGCAGATGTAATCTTTGTTGTCAACTAGAGAGGGACATTCAGTAAAATCCGGTAGTATCAGTTCCTTTAGTTTTGTTCTCAGGTCCTTTTTTTGACCCAGTTGAAAGCATTTAAAGACTGTGACCTAATCTTATTTTATTTATTTATTTTTATTTTTATTTTATTTATTTCAGTTTATTTATATTTTCTTATTATGACCAAAATTAAACACAGTATTCCAGATTCCACTCACATTAGGTACATTACTTTGTAATTTCCTGCACTGAAAAATTCCTAAATTATTTTCATCTAACAGAATGTCAGAACAGATTTCCTGTGGTGCAGATTCCTTGACCCTGAACTTTGTCCCCCCCTGCTGATCCATGAAAGCCTATCTTGGTTTGCCTGGCAAGACTTGTTATATATTGGCCTGTTGTTTTGTAAAGATAGTCACATAGATGGAAATGTCTACATAAGAGATAATTTTGTGATAACTTTTGAGCTTTATTTCTTTTAAGTAATTCTGTGGATAGTTAGAATTTATGGGAGCTCCTTTTTTTTTTTTGCATAAGAAAAATGCACATGTTATTGGACAGGAAAATACAAAGAAGCTTAAATAAGTATATAGCAATGCAGTAACTGAAACCCAATAGGTCCTTGAGTTGTATGTGGTTTTGCTCAGAACTCCACCATTCAGTTCAGAGGAAGAAGCAGATGAAGATGACGTTAAACAGTATTGCATATCACCAGAATTACTACGAAAGCAGTCAAAAACATCAAGCAGCAAAGTCAGTGCTTTTCAGAAGGCTTCTAGCAAAAGCAATATGGATGGGATGGGGGAAAGTGAAATTGAAGAAACTGGAACACCTCCCAAAACTTCAAAAGGTTTTTTCATTGCTTTTCTATATGCCTGTTGTAACAGCTGTGCATGGTTTTGCATTTCCTGATAATATTTCTGTGTTAGAAAGCATAATGAAGCCAGACTGTCTAGTCTTGAGTGTATATATTTGTGTGCAATTCACATTTTTGCTAATGTTTTTATATTGATATAGTACTTTAGAGGTGTTAGTTCAAATTAGAAGTGTATCATGCTGTTTTATGTACGCGCAGAAGCAGAGGCAACCTGTGCTGCAAAGAGACTTCTTTTACTTATTTTTACTTTGTGGAAGATTTCTAGAAGGTTTACAGTAGAGCCCCTTACTTGTGAAACTGTCAATATAATTTTTTTTATGAACTTTAGGAACAGTTATTCAAAAACTGACCGAACAAGTTGGAAAGAGTCTTTCTAACCATGGAAATAAGAACAAACCAGCCGGAGGGGTTAATGTCACCCAGGCATTTATTAAGAAAGAAGAGGTGAAAGAACTGAAGGTATCACTTTTAATAGTCATTATTATTTAACTAAGTAATTAAACTATGTATATATATCTGTTACTTTTTTTCCATGCCAAAACCGTCTTGACACAGCGATGAACTTCATTCTCAAAGACAGTTTTGGAATTACAGCTAAGTAGTCTTTTTGGGTACATCTGCACTGGTATATAGAAAAGTGCTATCTGTGGCAGGTGACCTTCTCATCCACACTGCTTATTAGTTGATACCATGACTGTTTTGGATCCCTACAGCTAGCCCAAAGTTTGGACACAATTGGTATAATTTTTATCTCCTGTTTTAGGAGCATAGAGGGAGCCCTTCTTTACCTAGTTTCCTAATATCTTCTTTTGATAGAGGAGAAAATGAATTTGCTCATCTAGTATTTTAAAATATTTTTATTTCTAGAGCTTTAACTGATATGGAACTTTTAAATACATTTTAATGAGGGGACAAATTCAATTTTTTAGCACAGTATTTGTTCTGTTGCATCTATTTACAATCATATACTGTTTTCAGACTAAATCAGATCTATCACTGATGTCTCTCCATTGAGTATGACATGTGTTCACAATCAGAATACTAACACCATTTATTCTTTACCCTTCATGGTCCTAAGGCGCCAGTCTTCCCCTCAGTTTAGAGTTTTATAATTGGTAAGCCACTTTGATGCAAATTGATCTTTGTCTGAACAATTTTTAAAAGGAACAAAAGTTACTCCAAATCAGAAGTCAACAGCAGGTAGTGCTTTTTATTTCAGTTTTAGTAGTTATTAGAGTGAAGTAGACAGACAGATACTAGTCCTAGAATCAAGAAAGTATTTTTTCACTAAACAAATATTAATTACTGAGAATCCTGTTACCCATAATAAAACTAATACCTTAGGGCTTCCTGACTGCCAGTTAGATCTGAAATTTATCACTCCTCCCAGAAGCAGTGACACTCCTACTTCAGTTTCCAGAAAGGGGTGATTGTCTTAATCAACTTCAGCTCTAATGGTAGGGTAGTCACATTTAGGCTGTGTGTTTTTAATTGCTGCTGGTGACACCTAACTTGTCCATTGACTGTGTGGAAGCTGAAAATCACACCAGACTCAAAATTACCAACTTGGGTATGATGATTGCAGTGTAATTTTCTGTCCAAGTGTTACTTTGAAATTTTCTGCAGTGTCAGATGATACAAGACTGTAAAATGTTCACAGTTAAATTTAGGGGATGTTACATTATGTAGAGATCTACAGACAGTGGGCCTCTGTGTTAAGGAATTTGTGCTTCAAGTGCAAAGAGCTGTAGCAAAACAAGCTTTAAAATCCATGTTTTAAAGATGCTGTAGTTTTCAATGATAACCTCTCTTCCCACGTGTCTCGGGGCAGGGACTGGGGGAATGAAGTCCCTCCCATCACGGGAGAAGATCGGGGTCAAGACCACAAGAGGAACCTGGACATACATAAGTCCATGGGACCTGATGAGATGCCACCCAGGGCCCTAAGGAAACTGACTGATGTAGTTGCCAAACCACTCTGCATCATATTTGAAATGGCATGGTAGTCAGGCGAAATCCCTGACTGAAAAAAGGGAAATGTCAAACCCATTTTAAAAAAAAGAGTAAAAAGGAGGACTCTGGGAACTACCAAGCAGTCAACCTTACCTCTGTGCCCTGTAAGATCATGGAACAGATCTTCCTGGAAGATATGAGAAAACATATGGAAGACAGGGAAGTGATTAGAGACAGACAACATGGCTTCACCAAGGGCAAATCGTGCCTGACTAATCTGGTGGTCTTCTGTGATGGAATGACTGTGTCAGTGGACAAGGGAAGAGCTATGGATGTCACCTACCTGGACTCTATAAGGCCTTTGATACAGTCCCCCACAAGATTCTTGCCTCTAAATTGGAGACATGTGGGTTTGATGGATGGACTCCTAGGTAGCTAAGGATCTGGCTGGATGGCTGTGTCCAAGGAGTTACACTCAGTGGCTCAGTGTCCAAGTAAACCAGCAGTGAGTGGTGTCCCTCAAGGGTCTGTACTGGGACCAGTACTGTTCAGTATCTTTATCAGTGACCTACTGGGATTGAGTGCACTCTCAGCAAGTTTGCCCATGACACCAAGGTGTGTGGTGTGGTCAATGTGCTGGAGAGAAGGGATGCCATCCAGAGGGGCCTTGACAGGCTTGAGAAGTGGGCCCACGTGAATCTCATGAAGTTCAGCAAAGCCAAGTGCAAGGTCCTGCCCATGGGTCAGGGCAATCCCCAGTATCAATATAGGTTGGGGGCTGAAGAGATTGAGAGTAGCCCTGCAGAAAAGGACTTGGAGATATTGGTGGATGAAAAATTGGACATAAGCTGGCAATATGTGCTCGCAGTCCAGAAAGCCAACCGTATCCTGGGCTGCATCAACAGAAGTGTGACTAGCAGGTCAAGAGAGGTGACTTTCCTCCTCTACTCTGTTCTCATAAGACCCCACCTAGAGTCCTGTGTCCAGCTCTGGGGTCCCCAGCATAAAAAGGACATGGACCTTTTGCAGCAGGTCCAGAGGAGGGCCATAAAACTGGAGCACCTCCCCTGTGAGGACAGGCTGAGAGAGTTGGGGGTGTTCATGCTGGTGGAGAGAAGGCTCCAGGAAAATCTTACTGCAGCCTTTCAGAGAATAAATAGGGCTTATAAGAAAGATGCAGAAAGACTTTTTACTAAGGCCTGCAGTGAAAGAGGGTAGATTTAGATTGCATATAAGGACGAATTTTTTTATGATGAGAGTGGTAAGGCACAGGCACAGGTTGCCCAGAGCAGCTGTGGCTGCCCCCTCCCTGGAAGGGTTCCAGGCCGGGTTGGACGGGGCTGGGAGCACCCTGGGCTGGGGGAAGGGGGCCCTGCCCGTGGTGGGGGGGTTGGAACTAGGTGATCTCTAAAGGTCCCTTCCAATCTAAACCATTCCATGATTCTATGAAAAATATTTTTGTTATAATTAATTTAGAATACATTATGTCCCTGATGTATCGACACAGTGGCATGTTCCAGTATGGACATGATGAGTTCAAAATGAGTTTATGAACACAGGGCAGGCATTGCTACTTGGTTTCTGGAATCTTTACAGAACAACACATCATCTTGTATTTTTTGCTAATTATATATGAATGTGCATATATTAATGTCCATATTTGTATATTTAAAAGTAGACCTATAGTTCAAGCGAATTCTTTAGATTTAAGGTGCAATTCTCAAAGGCACCCAAAGACATAAGTACAAAATGCCATTGGAATGATGGTTTCTCTGAAAATCCAAATTATTAAAATAACTTAAATACTAATAGCTTAAATATTTATAGCTGTTAATGGTCATTCTCAGAACCATAAAACTTTTATAAGGCATCACACTGTCATATGTTTTATAAAGGTCATGTTTCACAGACATTACTTCAGAAACATTTTAGAGAAAATTAATTTTGTGCCTGCCTGAAGCTGTATTACCTGAGTTCACCTGTACCAGACGTGGATTATGGTATTTCTTTGGAGGAAGTCTTTTGAGTTAATAAAACTGCTTAGCAGTTTTGCTTGGTGCTGTGTATTTACACTCGATCAAAACTGAATTCCATTTGAAGTTGCGATTTTTCTCACCAATCTGTAGTTTAAATATCAGTCGGGACTTAGCGAATGTTTGCGGAAACTCTTCCTCCAGCATTTCTCAATATACGTGACTCTGACTTTCCCATTACCACTCCCTCCAACTGCATATAATTTAAAACAGCAAAATGTTGAATCCTGGTATGTTAATAATACAGCACACTGAACAGATCTGTCAGTTTTTGAAAAAAAGTTTGCAATGTTAAAATTGAATTATGTTGCAAGATAGAGCATTGCTGCAGTCTCTTCCCTTCTTTCAAGACACTTGACACGTTCATATTTGTTGATTTTTCTCTAGTATGTACATACCTTACATTGTTCTCTAATAGCACCTGAGTCTTTCTTCTGTGCAATAGAAGCACCTTCTATATCTTACTGTAATGCTGAGACCCCAGTGCAATAAGGTTTTAGCTTTGTAAGAAACCATCTTTCACTTTCCACAGTTAAGCTCTCTAATAATGGCTCAATTTCATTGAACTGCATCCAATTGACAAATAGGGAAATGCTGTAGCTCTTCTTTCAAGAGCTGAATGAAGATATTTAGTTCTCAAGGCAGATGAGGTAAGAAAGTCTGTGAACTCGCTGCCTTCAGGTTCATCTGTTTGACTTGACTCTCACTTTGTGAACTTATGTAAATCCGCCACGTAATTAAAAATATGCTTGTACATACTGACTGTCAGTCTTAAGAGGAATACACATTTTAACTTTGAACACTATGTGGGTTTCTTAACTTTCATTATTTAATTTCTCTTTAAATAAATTACTTCTAAGTTGAAAAGGCCTTTATTGCAATATTAAATTTTTCTTCTGTGTATACAGAATGCTTATATAGCAAGCTAAATTGCCAGCTTGCATGATAACATGTCATGTCTTTATTTTCATGTAAGTAATATACATTGTACTGCTTAAAGAACTTTCCATCTCATTGGAATAGCTACTATCCCAGGAAAGATAATCCTTTTTTAAGTCATACCTGAAAACGTAGGCTTCTGCCAGTTATAGAACTGGCAGAACTTTAAACTTTTGCATTTCTTGACTTACTTTAAAAAAAAAACACTTTTAGCTTTGGAACTATAATAGTGAATTAATATCATTTAGATAATTTAACAATGTGGATTTTAAAACTTTGGTGATAGATGTCATGAAGGCCATGTGCCAGTGCATTTTTCTTTAGCAGTTTCACATTATTGGGTTAATGAAAGATCTCAGCGCAGCTTGAACAGAGGAAAAATGCATGGTTTTCTTCTCCCTGTTAGTTCACAGAAGTTGATGAAGATGATTGGGATATATCATCAGTAGAAGAAGACTTTTTATTGCTGAAAGATGGTAGAGGACAGAAGTCATTGATGGTTCAGAAAAATGAGTCAAATGCTGCATCTGTGGTACATGCATGGGGTCTTCCGAAGACAAGCGTAACAAAGGAGGAAGGTAACATGTTCATACTTCTACACTATAGGCCTTAAGCAACTGACACAACTAGAAGAGAGCTTAAGTATATTACTTACTGTAACTCAATATATGGTATTTTTGTAAGAAAAGAACAAGAAAAACTGTGTGTTTGGTTTCATGTCATAGAAATATCATATATGATATTTATGATACTTACTTACATGTAAACATACACACACGTGTACAGAGATGCCAAGAAACTTAAATTTGAGACTTTAAAACACACAGTACTGTCAGGCTTCAACCTCATCTTAAAAATCAATCATGCAGGAATTTTTATTTTAATTCCTTCCCAAATTTAAGGGAAGAGGGAAACTTTCTTACTTTATCTTGAGAATAATAATAAAATTTCAGGTTTGTTCAAGGTAGTGAAGTAACCTACCAGGCTGATGTAAGTATTTGAACTACTGGTGAAGTAATAGCCTCAATCTTACATAGAACTTCTATAGTAGTTTCTAGCCCTGACATTCCAGTATATGTAAAGGTTAAAGCTGTGTCAGTTATATAAAGATACTTCTGGTTATTTTTAAAGAGAAAATAATGTGGAAACTGTCTGCTTGTACTTTGCATTGTATTCTGTGACAGAAGCAGCCTTCGTATTATCAACACTTGTAACTTCTTCACAGGTTGAAATTCTGCACTTCCTAAAGTCCACAGGCGTTTGCTTATACAGCATGTGATTTTATTTCATAGATAAATACAAAGTGAAAATACCCCCCCCCAAACAGTATTAATAATTGTGGTGTTTGTTTGTTTTTTTTTATTATTTTAACAGGCCTTCATGAAGCTGATAATACAAGCACATTAAAAAGCAGCTTAGTCACAGTTACAGATTGGAGTGATTCTTCAGACATATAAGTGTTGTGTTCCTGATGGGAGGCACTGCTTTTGGGTTCTGTTGGGATTGAAAATGTAGTTGAAAACATCAGGTGTTTCCTATTCGTTCCTCATATTGGTCATGTAATAACAAGGAATACTGTTTACAGAGACCTTGTGTCTTTCAGTCCTGCATCTGAAACAAGGGTATTCATACACGCATTACTGGCCATATCTGTTTGGAAATTGGGAGTTAATTCTTTCTTGTGAATTCAGTGGTGAAAGTCTCTGATTTCACTGAGGTAAAGATTTTACCTCTAATGTTTACATTAAAGATTGAAACTGGTCTTGCAAGAAAGCCTATTAACCAATGAACAGAATTTATGGCAGAGTATTACTTTATGAAATTTTTAAATGCATATTTTGTCTTTTCTCATAAACTTTATATAAAATTGTGAAAATTTTAAAGAAAATATTTCCATGTATTAAAATGTTATGTTTCTACCATGGTTTACAATAAACACCAAAGACAAAAAAGAAAGTCTCCGCTATAAAACTAGTTATTATTAAATGCCTCCCATTTTGGAGGTCTTTGTTTGGTTTTGGGTGGTTGGGGGTTTTTTTTCTTTTTTTTTTTTTTTTTTTATTAGAGTTGAGTCTTAGTTAACATAAAAGCATAAAAAAAAAAAATTAAACATCAAGCTAAGGTGAGCAAAGCACTGACCTGCCATTGTGGAATTCCTTTCCTATTTCTGTTTTGGCCATATTGGCTGCCTTCTTAACAAAATGCAATAGTGTTTTGACTCAAATGAAATACAAAAAAAAAAGTAAAATAGAAAGAACCTTGAATGGCTTCTGATGTATTTTGGATGGTATCGAACACGAAACCTTTTCAATATACTTTGCCTTTATTAATTGAACTTTTAATTTTTTCTATTTATGCCTTTGTCCCAAAATAACCCATGTATTGCAACTCCAAGGCAAGGGTCCATCAGTTCAAGCCTCAAGACAGACCTCAGTTTGTGTCCTATTTTAGGGTCTCAGCCTAGAAAGCATTTTTTGGTTATTTATCTCTGATCTCGTTTGTTGACTTGTCACACAAATATTCCCTCAAAAGCCACCCCACTTCTACGGACAGGGTAAAAAAAAAAAAAAAAAAAAAAAAAGTGCTAGCAGAATTTTTGAACTGTCGTAACTAATTCAGGAAAATCAAAATACTGCTGTTGAGTATTGCCTGCTTTTATTTGCTCATCCATCCAGGAACACCTGGGGTTTTTCCTTCCCTTTCGTAACCCTGGGGCTTGGAGCCATTCTGGAGCCAAAGGTGCCCTGCGCCCGGCCCAGCGGGAGGGAGCGAAACCAAGGCCTGGCAGTGACTTGGCACGAGCCGGGGTGAGGGCCGAGGCACAGAGCAAATGCAGAGTGTAGGAACTGTCCCCTGTCTGCAGCCTCACTTAACCTTGGCTTTCCTGGTCACACATCTTCTCGTGCATGCATCCATCCTAGGCCGTGCAAGGCCCTCTCTGGTAACTGTTTCCATAACACCCGGCCCCGATTTTTCTTAGTACCTGCTCCTGCCTCCCCAAATCCCATACTTATTTCCACTTCACCCAGTCTCTTCCTTCTCTTAGTTCCATGGCACCAAATTGGCCAAGTTGCACGCTCTTCCAGCCTGGCAGTGTGGTACGGAGCTAGGAGCCTGTCCCTTCCCGCTGACTGTTGGCATCTGGCACTGCAGTTGCGATGTGCTCCTCAATTCCCATGTCGCCGCTCATCAGGGGTGAGATATTTTACATATTAACCTGCACAGAGTATGGCTGCTTTGTCCAGTTCTGAGCCCGTTTCAGAAACGGTTGCTGTGATGCACTGCAGGCAGTATGGTGTCTGCGATGCCATTCCCACAAGCAACTGACATACTGAATTGGTAAATACCTCATTTATTTTTCTCAAGAAAGCAACATCAGCTCATGATTTTCAGGTATAAACTTTACAATATCAATCTTAAAATATTATATAATAAAATTTACATCAATATGTAAAAAGCTGCAAGTTAATGTTTTAAAAAGTCATTGTCTTAGTGGTAAGTACATTGGGGTTGAGGGGGGAAATCACGCTGAATGAAACGTACAAACACATTTTTAAAACGCTTTGACTCTTCCAACAGTACAATTAAACATAAGCGTTCTTGTCAAAGTGCTTTGGTGGGGTTTTGTCTGGGACACTGTTGTGGACCTTCATACGCGAAGATATCACAGATGTGGCTCCATTATATGCATACCCCCTCCTGAAAAGAAAAGAGAATCAACCATTTACAGCTCATCCTACAGGCAGGTAACATCCCTGCATCCAAGCATTATAGCCATGAAACTAGAAGAAATGTATAGGAATGTACCTATAAATGTCAGGGGAGGGGGCAGGGGGGACACCTTCCTTCCCTGTGTGGTCTTACTCTGGTTTGACATTTCCCCTCCAGCAACTCTTTGCAATTCACTTTTTTGTAAAAGCATATTCCTTGTTCACAGCTAAGTAAATCAAGGCCCACTCATTAAATATTTAGGCTGTGGCAGACCCTAGGTGAATAGTTACTCCCTCCAGCTGTGCCTCTTCATTATCACCCCCACTCTGCTGCTGGAGGTCCCACTGCCACCACCGCTGTCCTTCACTGCTCTCACTTTTGATCTGATAATTTAGGATTAAAGAATCTTGTCTATTCACACCTGTAAAGTGACCTGACCACTTTTCCTACATCAGTAAATGTAATTTTTTTCCAGCTGTAGTAAATTTATGAAGTATATGTAATGCAAGTATTTGATCTGAGTCAACAGCTTTTATTAATTACGTTCATGATAAACAGAGCATTATCCTTAAACCCCATTATTTCTTTCATCCACACTATCTTTTTATGAACCTCACAATGAAGTGTTTGGAAAAGTAATCAAACCACATACGTATAGTGTGTACAAATCCACTAGATTGATTTCTTTCAGTAAGTACAACTTGTGTTTTACCTTGGAGAATTACTGTTTTCAGCTATTGAGAAGCAGAATATACTGCCACCAATTATGCAGAGTGAAGCTCCAGCCCATCCAATGAACAAAGCTGCTCCTAATTCGTACCTACAGGAAGTTAATAAATGGGTTTAATAAAAGAGAGCATGGATTTAACATTGTTTTTCAGAATAACAGAACTAACATTTATTTTTTCCTGAATAACTTTCCGCTGACATACACATCATTCATCGCAGAGTCAGCAGCTCTGCCATTCACCCTCGTTCTTTTCATTACTTCCCCCTAACTCAGAAGGCAAACTCTGTCCCTGCAGCCCCCTGGGGCAATGCTTACCTCCCCGTGCTGCCAGCGGTGCCTGGCTTTTCCACATCTCCTCCTGCGTCGCTTGGCTGCGGCGTTACGTGGCTCGCGGGCCCGTTTACAGGGCAGCACACAGCTCCTGTCCCCTGGGACCGCTGCAGGTTTGGTCCTGTTGGCTCCCAAACTGGACCAGGGCTTTTGCTGAGCCAGCGACTACGAGCTGCGCCCTGCGACTCTGCTTGACTCTCCCCTCTGGCTCTCAGGATCTCTCTCCCCTGCGAGCCACGCTCCAGCCCGCTTAAAACATGAGGGTTTTGTACACACGTATAATATACATATGCTATATATATACACACAGTTGTGCGATATATGCGTATACAGATGTATCTGATCTATGCCCATACAGATACGTACACACACGCATGCCTGTGCAGATGTGCATGTGTGTGCACACGTGCATGTGGCCAGCGTCCTCCTGCTTCTCTAGTCCCTGTGGCTGGATTCCGGCTGGAAGACACCACTGCCCTCCGAGCCCTTGGGCACAGCTCCAGGTCACCAGCAACGGTCCCCTCCACCGCCCGGGGCAGCCACAAATTGTTTGCAGCCACAAAGACTCCGAGAGGAGATGGTGGTGCTTCGGGAGTGTTACCACACAAGGGTAGAGTTTCTAAAGCAACGGTAATAAACGAAGGAATAGAAGGGCATGGGGAAGAGATTCCTGTCCTCCTCCTGCTCAAGCTCAGCGCCTGTAACCTGAGCTCTGGAGCTTCAAGACGAGCAGCAAGCCACGGCTGCCACTTGTCTGCTCCATTCCCCAGCTCTTTGCCTGAGGTACCACTCCTTAAAACACTTTCAGGACGACCTGCATTAGACCACAGGCCCAACAGTCTCATACTCCTCACTAGTAAGACAGACCGTGTGCCTCTTTCCCCTTCTTCTCTGCTCCAGTTCCATCTTGCGGAAATCTTTATCTCCCCCTGACTCCTAGGACCCTGTGCTGAAAACAGAGGCCCCAGTCCCTCGAGGCAGACAAATTAAAGGCTCTGCTGGACAGCCTGCCTGTACAACTGGAAGACTGTGCAGTTGCATACTTTTCAGCTAGATCTGAACATTTCCATCTGAACGGATCCTAATTTCACATTAGCTGAATTATGTAACAGAAAACACCTGTAAGCTCTTCTACAAAACTTGTATCTTTACAAAGATGACACTGCTGAAAGTCAAAAATTGCCTGCGAGACCAGACACACAAAAAACAATATAATACATCTATAATAGGTCACAACAGGGTGAACAGTAGTTGAAGAACAAAAAAATCACTTTTCCATGTTTTCTTGAGATTCTAACCAGAGGTAAAACACAGACTTTTTTAATAAAAAAAAAAAAAAAAAAACAAAAACAAAATTCACACACAGATAAAGCCACGCTTAGGATATCGGTGCTAGATGCTATGGATACCCAGGTTCAGGCAATTTCTGACTCAGGGGCTTGCTGCCACAAGGAGATGGCAACATTGGAGTTCAGAGGTAGGACACTTGGCGAGGGCTTGCACCTGACTCTTCATGGCCCCACTGGTGTTCTGACTTTAGGCTTCTTTTCATTTGCCATTCACATCATCTAAGGACCGTTTTTATTTATGATCCCTTACTAAAAAAGGATCAGATTCCCCCAAACATTCTCTGTACCCAGTGTGGGACTTAGGTGCCCAGCCCCAAATTAAACTGCTGGAAACCATAGCTGAGCTGCCTTTCACTCTGGAAAACTCTGCACCCAGCCCCACTTGACTTCAAAATCTGTCAAACCTGCAAGGCTTTAATTCGAACTATGCTCACATTTCCAACCACGTGCTATGGTTTTCATAAGACTTAAGCAGATTTCTCTCTGTTCAAGGACTGGGGCTTCTCTGATTCGAAGCAGGTAACTACATCAGAGCTCATCACCTTGTATCCCATTACAGTCAACACACAAGAAATACACACACAGTACACTTCTAAAACACCCTCAATGCACCTCTTTTAAGGAGCTGTAAAGGCAGATCAAAGTGACTAACTCTGATGTGAGGTAAGCCCCATCCTGGGGATCCCTCCATCCCCCCAGGTACTGCCAGAGCACACCTAAGGTACGTGGACCAGGGTTAGGCTCCCCACAAAAGTCAGCACAGACCACCGTGGTGCTGGAGAACACAGCTGGATCAAGACCCAGGAAGGCGGCTGCTGTAACAACTTATTTGCCAAGACCATTTGCCTAGAAAGTGGGAGACACAAGTTCATTTCCACGTTTCCATCTAACAACATTAAACAGTTGGCCAGTGGCTAATGGGAGAGAGATAAGACCAATTGCCATCTCCCCTCCTGAAGCTCTTCAGTTTTACAGAAAAGAAATCAAGACAACATTGGGTTTAATTGGGTAGAAAAGGGTTACCTGACTGTTCACTACTAATTGGGAAAGAAGACATGGGGTCCAGCCTTTGTTCTTGGGATTGTTTGTACTTTTTAAGCAACAGTTGTTACTGTAACATGTATAAACCGACTGCATATATGGACCCTTCTCAGGTGACTGTCACCCTACTAGGTCAATGAGTTGCAGAGCTGGCCTAATTGGTCTTTCCTCCACATCTTTAAACAGATGAAAAAACCTTTCTGATTTACACTGGTGCTTATGAGGAAAACTTAAAATTTTCAATTGCATATCAATCTGTGTATGGTTCCCTGGATTTTATCCAATCCATCTACAGCATTTAGGAAGCCAACCCTAACCTTCCATCAAAATCCAGTGTGTAAAAAAAACTTGCCATATGAAAAAAGCCTTATATACATTGGTACCCCCAGAAAAAAAAAGAAGAATAAAAAAAAAGGAGATAGGCTTTTTTAGAAGAAATTTCTGCACTTGCTGTTTTTCCTTTCCCTCTTTGTCATTGGAATATTTGCAGGAAACTCACTTTCCTGTTCTTATAATACTTGGTTTTAAGAACCAAAGCAGCTACTCTCTGAAGTCTGCGGCTGCATCTCCACTGTCTCCAATCAGCAAAATCAGATTAGAGATCACTCAGAGATCGCTGGCAGCTCAGGGGGAGAGTGAGACATTGATGGTGAAGTTCAGAGGCGGTGACCACTGAGGACTATAAGAATTCAACTGCAGAGAACTGAAAGCCACCTTCAACTGCACTGACCAAGACAGCTAAAAGTAGATTTTTTGCTGTAATCCAGGAAGGCAGAAATCAGTGAAAGAAAGTGCAAAATTAGTATATAGAAGAATATACTAGTTGTTACACACATTAGGGCCATTAAGTAAACTTCCAAGCAAATCAGTGGAAGCTTCATTAGCTGACTGGATGTTGGCATTTGTAAAGGACATACCTACCTACCTACCGAATCAGCACCAAAGGAAATACACATTTTGAATATCTAATTCTTACAATTCTTAGAAAATGAAAAATAGGTTCAAATGTGACAGTGGGACAAAGGAAAGTGGGCCTGCATGAACTGTGGACAATCCAGTCAGAGACAAGAAAGCTGAAGGGAAGCAATTCTCTATAAAAGAGAATGGGAAGTTAGTCAGATAAATTGGGTAAACTAACCTCATTCATCAGTAAGAATGATCACGATTATGGAGTTCAAACTATGGTACGGGCCAAAGAGGATAAAGACTATAAGAGGGTGTTTCTTTAATTAAAAGTGACAAAATAGTTTCCTAAGGAAAGCTGTGGGAGCAATGTTAGCAAGGCAGCAAAAGAGAAGCACAGATTTTCCCCTATTAGAGGTGTCTGGAGAAAAAGGAAATCCATCTTGGCTACAAGCACCAAAGTGTCCCGTGCTGTCCCCAAGACTCTGTGAGTGTTATTACGTAGGGTCAAGCAATTCCTCTGGAGCTGTTTTAAATTGGCAATGCAAACTGTCACACTGGGACACGAAGCCCAGCCTAAGATTTCTTTCTAAGTAGGGTGGGTTTTACGGTGTCCACATGGAGCCTGTCATTCCTCAGTTAGTACATAACTCAAACCAGATGTCTTTTGGGCAACACCTTTAGGCAGGTCTCTGATTCCTCCTGCACCCATACATAGTCAGAGTGCCTCTTACGAATGCAGAAGGCCAAAGGGAAATTCTGATGGGTGAGATTATGTTAAACATCTCGTGTCATTTGTTTTCTACTAACAGCATCTAAGCCTGTCCTGGGCACCACCAGAATAACTTCAGGAGAGAATTGGGCAGTAAAAGGTGAAAGGTTGAAACCCTCTCTCAGTGAAGAACCAATACCAAATTTCCACAATGTAACAGCAAAGCATATTAAATGCTTCTGCAATGTATATCAAAGTAAGAGTTCGCAGACGGCAACAAAATACATTACTCCAACATATTTTACATTGGTTGAGAGAGGAGTCGAATGCCACCATTAACTTAATCTGCCACAAGGTCACTGCATGAGCTACATACACCATGCACAACTCAAATCACAATATCTGGCTTTCCTCTCTGCTTTTATCTGTGCAGATGTGACTATGCGTGCCCACAGCTGACCCATGCTGATTGTTCAGGAAAAAGGTAATTTCTGCAGAGGCTGGTTTACTGCCTTTATTTCAGTATTTAAACTGGAATTCTCATTCCTTTGCAGTAAAACTCCACTGTGAGGGCTGCCTGCTCTTTTGCAGCAGCAGAGTTTAGAAATACAGTGTAGGAATTGGACTTCTGGCAACAATCATAGTATTTTTCACTAGGAACAGTAAGCCTGATGGATAAGTAACTTCTGGCTATATAGCCAGGCCCCATTTTCTTCACAGTACCTCACATCCTCATTTCTTTTGGAGGCCTTTTGATCCTATCCTCACCATATCAAACAAGCAGAAAGTATAGGAGAATTATGGAGGAAACTAATATGAGTTTGTTTTCAAGAGACGAGAAGAAGTGTCAGCCCTACTGCAAACATGGACCCAGTTAATGTTATTTATTCAGACCATTTTCTTCCTATCAAGGAGAAACAGAAAGGCTCAGGGTTCCTTACTGAGCTCTTACTTGGGTCTCAGGGAAATGTATACCCAATGCTTGGCATTTCCTGTAATCACCATCAAAAAACCTCTGAAACCCTTGCCTTTAAAGATTACATTACATTATGTAAGAAGCCAAACCAGGAAAGTCTACAATGTCATAATTTATAGCCAACGTTTTCAGACTTGGTAGTTAAGATGTGAACCCAAAATCCAAGCACTGGCTTGAGAATCGCTGCCTTTGTAGGTCCTGAGAACGTGCACAGCTTTAAAGGGAGTCTTTAGGGATGCTCATTATTTCTGGTATGGATCCTGCAATTCTATAAACACTCACTCCCTTAGATTTAATTACAAGTATAGTCAAAGCATTTATGTTAGTGCTTGTAAGATTGTAGGTTACAATAAGGTTTATGATACAAATTTCAGTCATCTCGATTTGAAAATCTGTCAGCAAAAATTCTACAGAGCCTGCAGAATCCTTCGTTCAAGAAGAGTCACGATTGCACAGTGCTCAACACCTTTATGGAAACCACCTGCTATCAAAAGCCTAAGGAAGTAATTTTCCTCCTTTCCTACCGAATGATGCGCCTAATGAGCGCCTCCACCTTGTGCAATCCTTTTGCTGCATCTCTGACATAAGCACAAGCTTCACTCCAGATTAACCCCATTTGCTCTGCGGCAAGCGGGGCAGAACCCCGCCGAGCGGCAGTAAGACCAGGCACAAAGATTACAGAGCAATCACTGTACGGGAAGGTGTTTGTTCATTAAATTTCAGCACACGGTTACTCCATTTGGAAAACATGGTTAAATAAAACTGCAGTCCTCTCTCCTTCTCTGCCCAACAGGAGAAACACCTGCTCTCTATTTAAATGGGCTCTGGCGTGCAGTATGATACTTAAGGTCTACTTCTTTGAAAGATTTATGGGTATAGGAAAGTACTTACTTTTGTGCAACAAAAGAAGGATCAAAGAACTCAGACGTAATCCTGTTTGCATACAGGGAACAACTAGTCATAGAGCACAGCCCTGAAAAGCATAAGACAAACCATTCAGTGGAGCCAGCAGAGGAGCTTTGGGCCTGACCCTGAAGCCAATGAAGTTATGGAGAATTGTGCATGGATTTCTGCAGAAAAGAAGCAGCTTTCGTATGACTTCAAATATGCAAACTTAGAGAAATAAGGTATATTTACCAGAAAGTATGAAAATCAGTCCAGCTAAACAAGCTATTTTTGCTTTAGTCTGATCGGAGCCTCCGACTTTTGTACACTTCATCCCAACCAGTCCAAAAACGGCACCGAAGAAGCCCAGGCATACGGCGGAGATCATCAGTCCTCTGCAGGCTTGGATGTAACCTGCGATGGGAAAGAGTAAGGCTAACGTGAGAACCGGGACCACAGTGGGTTTCGCTGTAGTTCCTCTCCCCCTGCGCAGTGTTAGGCATTCACTACTGCAAACCGAACCAGACCCCGGCTGGAGTAATGTCACCTCACCACGGGGTGTCTTCTTCCAGGTGACGCCTGATCATCACCTGAGCCCAGTTCATAAGCAACGTGCCACGGCATTCAGGGCTGCAGAAAATAATCCTATAGCACTGGCTACAGCACGTGCAAGAGACTGTACCCGGGAGGTTTCAAAGAGCAACCCCGCGTGGTCTGCGCAGGGGCTGTGGCGGGTTGCAGAGCCGCTCTGGGGACACAAGGCCGGCGTTACACGTCCGTCTTGTTGCGCCCGCGTGTGGCCGAGGCAACAGGACTGGCAGCAGGTTGGCAGCACAGGCCCTGACCGGGGTCCTGGGCCGGCCCGGACGCGCCCCCGATTTGATTTGGATCTGCCAAGAAGGCACCTCGTTCTGCAAGGAAGTCAAGCACATGCTCAGCTTCACGGGCATTCTGAGATAAAAGGAACGACTGCCATAGTTAGGCCTGGACAGATGGCTGGCGGCCGGCTTCCGCCACACAGAATTTTGCTGCACTGGCTGAGGCTGCTCTGAGCTGGACCTCCCAGGGACAGGGCCCTTCCGCAGGACAACGGGCTGCTTGGCCTCTTCTCCCTCTGGGAGTATCTTGTAATTGAACGTCCGTGATAATCTTCTATCGCTGCTTACGGGGTGGAACACTGCAGTCTTACACGGCTGAATAACTATCACAAGATGTTTTTCTTCATAGCCTGTTGTTACATCTCGTTTGAAATGAAAAGGTACTCTTCCACTATTAGGGCATTCATTCCTCTCGCTTTGATCTCCAGTGGGTGGAAATGTTGAGAGCTAAACCACGTTTTCATTGCCTATTACACCACATTTTATGTAATAACAAATAAACACCCCCCCGCTGCATAAAAGTATTTAATATACAGGGAATTAATATATTAAAACAGGAATGAGAGGACATCTAATGAAAACAGAAGGCATCAGATTCAAAACAAAAAGCGTGCTTATTCATTGAACAAAGTTGTGGAACTCCTTTCCACAGGATATGTGGATGCTAAAGGTTTACAGCGACTCAAAAAGATACTGGATATATCCATTAAAGAGAAATCCATATCTGGCTGGCAGGTCCTTGAGCTGCAGACGGCTACCACTGACGCTTGGCTGCCTTCTGCTCTCCTTACTGCCACCCTCCTTAGCCGCTGCTGGAGGCGTATCAGCTCCAGGATGACCGCTCTGTACTTGAATGTTTAAAAAAAAACCCGTTGATTCACAGCTTTGTGCAACAAGCAGCACACGAGAAGCAATCTGTAGCACGTAGCACCTGGTTTTATCAGTCCTACACAACTTAGGTGCCGTGCTACACGCCTGCGAATGCAACCTACTGGCATTTATCTATGTCTGCTGTCAGGTATACAGGCTTCTTTCATTTGCAACGTGCTTCTGCAGCCCATCCACTAAAGAAACACAACAGTCAATGAAATAAGTGTAACTGTCGTACGACTTGCCCATATCAGAAAGAGGGTCACATGTGTGAGACCCAAGACTGAAGAAAACAATCACGCTTTGTTAATTTTTGCTATAGGCATGGAAAAGTTGGCTTTTACTACTTTCGGTGGTGTGTAACGTATTTCTTGTAGCACACAGGTAAAGCGGGAGATGAAGACTGGCAAGGAAGCTATTATTTTTGACAGGTCCTATTTATTGACACTCTTAGTTGCTAATTGACACATTAAAGTGCTGAACCATGAACATATTTACCCGGAGGTCCTCTAAGCTTTCATTTATGTCTGAGCCTCCTAGGACTAACAGTAAATATTCACCCCAATCAAAATAACCAGCATATGCTAGGAACCACAGGGCTGAAATTCAGCTGTTCCTGAAGGTCAATACACCGTTTTAGAATAGGTAGAGGGTAGTGAGACAGCAAGAAATAATTAACTCACTCACCCAGAAATCATTTTCAATTATAAACAGCATGAGCTGAAGGACTGCTCAGTTCTGCTGAATGAATAACCTTCCTCACTAAATATTTCACCGAACTAGGCAGGCCAGCCATAGCGGGACTTGTTTCAGTTCACCACAGCAATCATCCAACTGGCACACATTTTTAAAACAAGATAGATGAAAAGAAAAAAAATCACAATCTACACCAGTAACGTGGAAGAGCAGAAGACTAGGTCAGTCCCACTAGGTTGACCAGGAAGCCTGAAAGGAAATCAACCTTTTCACCAAATCCAACATCCTATTGCTTGGACCCTTGGTTAAAACTGTGTATAGCAATTGGCTGTAGGAGTAATTAAACTTTTTCTTTGCTTCCTAGAAAGTAAGAACATTACACTGCTTACCAAGGCTTATAATGCAGGGAAGTGTAAAGGGGAGCTGCCCGCTTCTTTACACTCCTCCACTCAAGACCAAAGACCGTCCCCTTTCCAAATGATTGTCTGCATTTGCACCAACTCCCGTAGGAAGCTTTTCATGTACATATTAACCACCAAAATGAAGTTCACAAGAAACAAAAAGCCATATGTTTTAAACAGACAAGCAGACAAACATGCATTACTCATAAAGTCATGTTTAGCAGCATTCCAACAGAAACCTATTTCAAGGTGGGTTTTTTTTTTAAACAAATGTGTTTTGTCTTGCATTCAAATTAATCTTGTTAGATCTTCATCCTTCTTGCCTCACTGCTCTCACGCTTGCCTCTGATGCTCACAGAGTTAGGAGGAATTCATATATTCATATCATATGACAGTCAGAAAAAAAATTTTACAAAGTTCTGGGGACTGTCACTTTCACAATAAATGCCTATGGTGGCACCTTGCAGTCTGCATCACGTGAAGTATAAGAGGTTGCCTTACAGACACAGCACAGATTTCTTTTGAAAGTACACACCCATTGCTTTTGTATGTTCTTCTAAGCTCTAATACACTCTTTTATCTCCTAAGTAATTTTTTGTTTAGCTGTTCTTGTAGAAGGTCACCAGATCTACTGTTGGAAACATGGGAACTGACACATCCTCTTTTTGGGAGGTGGTTTCATCCCTAAGTTTCCACCTATGATCAGCAGCGCATAAAAGTAAACCCAAAATGATCATGTCACACAGACAGCAAGAATATTTTTGCTTGCATACTGAATGAGGGGCTGAGCCCTTAGTGAGGACTGGTCAAATCGATTTCTTGCACAGGAACACATGAAGGTGGAAGGGCCCCCCATGCAATTTTCTCTGGCGGCCACTCGTGCGGTGGAGCGATGGCCTGAAAGCCATCGGGGCAGCCCCGCTGCCCGGCCACCCCACAGCAATCTGGGGAGTGCAGTCCAAGACTGCTCCATGATGCAAACCAAAACAAGGGTAACGGGGAACCATCTCCAGATCGCTCCCGACCCAAACTACAGCACTGCTTCTGAAAAAGGACGGGCTTCTCCCGCACCCCACAGGAGAGCCCCATCAGCTGGCAGGGTGATACCCCGATTTTTTACCCCCTCGTTTTGCCTCTGAGCCTCCGGCAGACCTGAGCAGTATCTCCGGACAAAAAGTCCAGCAAAACTCAGAGGTTTCTGATTTGACAAAAGCTAACATTTCTGTAGAAGAGGAACTGCTCTGCAAGGCAAATCCCCTCCAGCTACGCGAGGAAGGAGTGAAGCGAAGCCACCTTTCCCTGGGACAACAACAATATTTCTAGTAATTTGCCAGTCATGCCCTACCATTTTGAGGAGAGCGAGACATTATCACTGGATGTATCTATAGGGTTATTTTTTCTGCTCACACACTTTAAGGAAAACAGGAAGCCAAATCTGCCTTTTTTTTGTGTCTTCTGAGTCCCGCACCTGAGGATGGAGTGAGGAAGTTCCCATGTTCCTGCTCACAGGGAACAGGATCCAGCTTAGCCACACAAATCTGCACAAAGAGGAAGAAGAGGGAAGGGAGAGGCTACTTGAGGGCCAAGGCAGATTTGGCCTCATGCTGACATAGAGATCCTTCTCAGCTATGCGTGACGCACTGCAACCCTGAGGTGTGCTCCTGCACCAGGCAAGGGTTGGGATGAAAAGAGGACATCCACACCCTCTGTCAGGTGCTAACGGGTTCCCAGCAGAGCCCATAACCACGAGGAGGGGACTTTGGGCAAGGTTAGATACTGAAAGCACCTCCGACTGTGGCAGCTGCCCCTCCACCCCGTCCCAGCCCGCTTGGCCTGTGCCATGGGGGTTACGTTCCTCTCTCTCCAGCCCACCTTTCATTCACACCGTGCCTGGGTACCAGGATCTGGCCCCACGGCATTTAGAGATGTTATTGACAAACACCGAAGCCAAGAACCTTCCCCTACTGATAAACAGTCTGGCCAGGAGGGTGGGATAAGGCCCTTCCAGACGTGCATTTTGGACTTACTTGTGTCCGAACGGAGTCAGTGCTCCGATGGCTGTTTCACTGTGCAGAAGGTGCCTCAGAAACTCATTCCCTGGGCAGGTGAGGCTTTCAACAAGGTTTCAACGCACGAGCGTTTGGAGGGAAGGGTGGAAAGCACTTTGCTGTCGAGTTTCTTTTTCTTTTTGGAATTGTAAATGTCCCCGATTCCGCACGCTCTGTAGCTACACTTTCCTTACTCTGTAAACCGATTAACCCAGAACTTTAAAAAAAAAAAAAAAAACAGCTAAACAATAGATTTGGTGGCTCCAAAAGGTTAGGTGCTGGCGATCGCTCCGTGCCCGCCTGCACACAGGCCGCAGCTCCTGGCCCAAGCCTGGAAACCACGTCCTCAGCCGCTACCCCTGGCCCCAGGGCGACCGACACCAGCGAGGCCGGCCAGCTCCCCTGCCCCTTCAGAGGGACGGCAAACCCCACTGCCACCGTGGGGCTGGGTCAAAAAAAGGTCTGGGGAACGGTACTTCTCCACCCGAGGGAAGTACCCTGCAATAGTGATGCTTTAAGGGTTGCCTATGTTACCGCTTTGTAGTATCTCGACCTCTTTTACCCCTTTGTACATACACAGGTTAAAGTTTTTCTGATATTGATATGAATTGGCTTCATGATAATACTAATCCCTCCTACGATAATATTAATCTCTGCTACTGATTTGACTAACAGACTTTCTTTTCCTTTTAAACAAACCTTTCACACCAAAATCCCCTCTCAGGTTCCAGTGAAAAGGGAGTGTCTGGCCAGACTGCTGAACAGCAGACCTGATATTTTTGTGAGTATCAAAGCCACTGGACATTGTATATTGTATTCATTTACGACTATCAAAATTTAGAAAAGGTACCATAATTTTAAAAACCTTTCCTCCCTTTCTTTACTGTCACTCCTGAGGCTATAAACTGATGCCATCCACACTTCCACTGTTTCTACCAGCCATAATCAGTGCAGATTTATCAACTACAAGTTTAGTTGTAAAGATTTCCTGCAGTGACCCAGTTTCCCAGTACGGCTTCCTTAAAGGGCAAAAATGTTTCCCTTTAACTAGGGAAGAAATGCAGCACCAAGTCAGTCTTTGGTTTCAGACACTATAGCAAACCTCTCAGCTTTACTTCAAAATAACACTGCCCTAGAGCTAAGATGAGCTATGCATCCCCTGAGCGTACCTTTGCATCCCTTAGGTGTCCTGAGCTTTTACACTGTCATTTATCAACGAAGCAATTACATCCGAGTTAATAACTGCTTCGCAAAAAAAGAAAGCAAAGGAACATTAATTAAAATAAAATGATGCCAAGGCTTGTTCTTCTCCACCGACCGTTGCACGGTTGGCAAAACTATAAAAAAGAGGAATGTCACGACAGTTGGAAAATAAATCGGACAGAAAAAGATTGCCTGCATTCTTCTTGTGTTAAATCCACATGCACGGAGTCTTCCGATGGGGGGGAAAACAAAACAAAACAAAACAAAACAAAAAAATAAACAAGCGAACAAACAAAAAAAAGCAGGCAGCGACAGCGAGGGGGGCCAAAGAGGACACTTCGGCACCAAACAGAATCTCAATCGGCCGGTTTTCGGGGGGAAAACCCCCACTTCCACGGGTGCGCAGAAGAGCAGCAAGGGGTGTGCACACGCCAGGGGGACACGAGGGCGCCTGTCCCCGAGCTCGCGTGGGAGCCGCCTCCGCCGGGGTCCCCGCCGCCCCCCCCCGGCCCGGCCCGGCGCGCCCCGACCCCCCCGCAGCACCCGGAGCCCCCCACTCCCGCACACCGGGGGGGCTGGGGGGGGGGGGTGAGGAGTTGGGATGGGGGTCGTCGGGAGCCTGACCGTCCAGCGCCAGCATGGATGGGAAGTCCTTGCAGTTGGAGACGCCGGTGGAGTCGGTCACGCAGGTCTTCCAGAGGTTGGCCCAGAAGGTGGCGGTGGTGATGACCGTGCCGTCGATGGTGGACACCTTCCAGTAATCGGTGGGCAGCGTGGAGGAGACCAGCACCCAGCCGGAGATGGTCAGCAGGAAGGCGATGATCTCCGCCGACGTGCTCGCCATGGGCCCGGCAGCCGGCAGCGGAGGGCGGGAGGGAGGGAGGAGGGCAGGCGGCGCGGAGCCGCGACGGCGGCCGAGTCCCGGCGGTGGCCGGGGGGGGGGCGGGCGGAGCGGGGGCGGCCGTGGCGGGGCCGCCCCGGGCCCCGCAGCCCAATCGGCAGAGGGAGATCCCGGCGCCCCCGGGGCCGCCCCCGGCCCCGCCCGGCCCCCGCCGCCCCGCCCCGGGGGTCCCCCCGGCCGGGCGGGAGCGGGGCGCTGCCCCCCCGGAGGGCCCCCCCCCCCCCCCGGTGGGGGCGTAAAAAACAGACCCCAAAACAAAGACAAGAGCGACGCGGCCCATAATGAGGTTTTAGTGTCTCCTTGCCCTGGAGGTGAGCGGTGCGGGGTGTGGGAGGGGGGTGGCACCAGCTCTGACAGGCGCTTCCTTAGCGCTTTCTGAGTAGTTTTTTCTTTCTTCGTGTGGACCCCAAAACGGAGCTGGGGGGGGGACGGTGGTTTTGAGCAATGCCTGCGGAGGACGGGTGTGCTGCCCATATCGAGCGCTCCATATTCCTGCGAGGGGGTGAGCTTCGCAAATAGGCGGCGAGGCTTTTTAATCCTCTGAATTTCAGCTGGCCTCCTGTTGTTATCCAGCCACAGACGATACAGCTTTTAGTAGCTGGTTTTGCAATGTGAGGTGGTGAACGTGGGATTTTCTGCCTCAGTCTTAATGCACTGGCATTCGAGCCTGCAGCTCGCAGGTGTAAAGTTATTCACTGCGGCTTCTTCTCTTGTTTGAAGGTGTTTACTTTCCACATCAGTAGTATATTTGCCACTGATGTGGAAAGTACACTGCTGGTCTTTACTTTCCTCCTGTTTATTTCAAAACTATTGTTAGGTTTTCTAAACCTTTTTGCCAGACAGGCAATCACGGGAGGATAAGAAGCCACATTTACATCATTATTCTTATGATGAATGCTCTTTGGTTTTGCTGTGTGGACACAAACCCGGATGTAATCACCTTATAGACATTTACAGAAAAAAAAAAAAAAAATAAAAAAAGGAGGAAAAAAAACCCAACAGCTAGAGTTGGGTGTACCCTTGGATGTGTGTCAGACCTCCACAGGAACAGGCTGTTTGCTGATCTGTCAATGCCCCAACAGGATAAAATGGGGTCCGCAGCTGCATCTCCAGATGCGATGGCTCTCAGCCCGCTCCCTGCCTCCTGGGTCCCCTCCAACTTGCAGGTGACACGCAGGGGCACGGGAAGGGAGGAGAGGGAGGGGAAGGCAGGCAGTAGGCTTGTTTGCGCAGCAGCATGGGGCACAGAGTATGCTACAGCTCCCGTTCAACCTCTGTGCCAAGATGTCCTCTCCTTGGGAGGGAAAAGAGAGAGAAAGGGTCTGGGTGTGGGTGAGCCAGAGCTCACTTTGGGACACAGAGAAGTGCTTCTAAGTCAAGGAAGAGGGCCATGACCATAGATCCAAGTCTCATCTACATGCCATTATGACCTATTTATTGTAGGGCATGGCAGCAGAAAGGGAAACAAAAGGTTTTTTGAATGTTTTCCCCATCGTAGCACCATGAGGGCTTTTCACCATTTGTCTTGGTGGTGGAAAGCTAGGCCAATCCAAGCAGCTATCAGCTGGGATCTAATCCAGTCTGAGGTAGGACACTCAAGTCCAAGTCTGGGTCATTGTGTTTTCTTGACGTGGGGAACTCACCTATTCTTTTGTTGATAACAGCACTTTAGTTGGTGTAAAGCTTGTTGAATCCAGGGACTAGTATCTGGGAAAATTTTGGCCAGGGCCCATCAGAAGTTTTCAGTGTGCTGAAAGGGACCTTAAAGACCATCTAGTTCCAACCCCCCTGCCAGGGGCAGGGGCACCTTCCCCCAGCCCAGGGTGCTCCCAGCCCCGTCCAACCTGGCCTGGAACCCTCCCAGGGAGGGGGCACCCACAGCTGCTCTGGGCAACCTGTGCCAGCATCTCACTGTCCTCATAGTGAAAAATTTCTTCCCTAGAGCTAATCTAAATCTCCCCTCTTTCAGTTTAAAACTATTATCCCTTGTCCTATCCCTACACTCCCTGACAAACAGTCCCTCCCCACCTTCCCTGTAGCCCCCTTTAAGCACTGACAGGCCGCTATAAGGTCTCCCCGGAGCCTTCTCTTCTCCAGGCTGAACAACCCCAACTCTCTCAGCCTGTCCTTGTAAGGGAGGTGCTCCAGCCCCCCTGATAATCTTTGTGGCCTCCTCTGGACCCACTCAAGCAGGTCCATGTCCTTCTTATATTGGGACCCCAGAGCTGGACACAGGACTCCAGGTGCGGTCTTCTGAGTGCAGAATAGAGGGGGAGAATCACTTCCCTCGACCTGCTGGTCATGCTTCTTTTGAGGCTGCACCAATGCTGAATGCAGCAGGATAATCACCTCTGTCGACAGGTTGGTTATGCTGTTTGACACACCCCGGACGTGGTTTGCCCTCTTGGCTGCCAGGGCTCACTGCTGACTCACACTGAGCCTGCTGTTGACCAGCACCCCCAGATCACTTTCTGCAGGGCTGCTCTCCAGCCACTCCTCTTCCAGTTTATACCTGTGCCCAGCGTTACTCTGTCCCGGGTGCAGAATCTGGAATTTGGACTTGTTAAATTTCATGCCATTGCTGATTGCCCAATTCTCCAATCTATCTAAATCCCTCTGCAAGGCCTCTTGTCCCTCAGGAGAGTCAACAGCACCTCCCAATTTGGTATCATCAGCACACTTGCTAATGGTGCATTCAACTCCTGCATCCAGATCGTTGATAAATACATTGAACAGGACTGGTGCTAGGATTGAACCCTGAGGAACATCGCTGGTGACCAGTTGCCAGCCAGATGTATGTAGCCTCATTCACTACAACCCTTTGAGCCCGGCCCTTCAGCCAGTTCTTCACCCAGCACACCATGAACCTACTCATCCCACAGCTGGACAACTTGTCCCGAAGGGTGCTGTGAGGGACAGTATCAAAAGCCTTGCTAAAATCCAGAGAAACTACATCCACCTCCTTCCCTTCATCCACTAGGTGGGTGACCTTATCATAGAAGGGTATTAAATTATTTAAACAAGACTTTCCCTTTGTGAACCCATGTTGACTGTGCGTGATGATTGCATTGTTCTTCAAATGCCTTTCAATAGTACCCAGTCTTCTCCATAATTTTTCCAGGAACTGAGATTAGACTAACAGGTCTGTAGTTTCCTGGGCCTTCTGTCATGCCCTTCATGTGAATTGGAGTAACATTGGCTAGCTTCCAGTCAGCAGGGACCTCCCCAGACTCACAAGATTTTAAAACTACATATATTTTACAAAGCAGAATGGAATATTATTCAGTAGTTGGATTTTTATAATGTATAAAAGTTTATTGTATTACTACGTACAGAAGAGTCCTTCAGAAGGGGTTTAGCTCCCAAGTTTGGAATACAGGATATTATTTTAGCTCTTGCAGGATCAAAATCACAAGCAATTGTTGTTGCCTCATAATTAAACGTTGGATCACAACAGCATTTGTTCTGCAGCCAGGATAAGCAGGCTAGGGTCGTCATGCCTTTGTCCCAGAGTAATTTTTCTTGTAATTTTACCATGCATAGGTTGGGCAACTTGAAACTCTTTCCTAGCTCTGCTGTGTTATGATTTTCAGGGTGCCTAGAGCACTTGTGCAAAAGAAAAAAAACCCCAACTTTATTTTTCTAAGGCTGAAGGACAACTTCCTTGTTTGCTAGGGTTTTCCTGAGAATTTGAATATTGAAAAAGTAAGGCAGACATGCAGGGAATATAGACAGGTTTGTAAGAGCATCACCACCTGGGCAAGGTCAGGTCTGCTATCAGTGATAGATCTGGGGAATACACCTCAAACTGGCATATGTATTAGAGGAGATTAAGTCAACTGTAAAATGATTAATTTTGCACAGTGTTCTGCGTTGTGCAGAACAAAAAGTGCCGCCTAAAAAATGAGCAACCAGATCCTCTTCTCCAAAGGAGAGTAGACAAAGGAATGTTTCTGTGTTGCCTAAAAAAAAAAGAAATCCGTCAGAGTGGGAACATCAGTTAATAATCACCAGTCCTTGCTGGGGTAGTCACTGTTGTTTTTCTTGAGATATCAGAAATTGAATTAAATTAAATTACTGCACGTCTTTTGTAAACTGCCAGGACAAGAATGATTTTAAGCTATGTGGTTCATATATTACCTAACAAAAAAGTAAAAAATTAATAGGAAGTGACAACCCAGAGCATTTTAAAGGAGTGAAAAATTGCATTCCATGAGCCAATAAACTTTCCCCTCTCCCATTCTGTGCAGCATGTTTGGACATTACAGACTTTGTTTCTTGCCACCAAGATTAATACATTATTTCTTCTTTTTTTTTTTTTTTTTTTTCAGCTCAGCTTAATTTTGTTGAAAAAAGCCTGTGTTGTTCCCTGAAAGTTTGTAATACAATGCTTTTAAAAATAGATATAACCTGTTTAACAAACTAAGCAGGAAATGTGAAGAAGTGCATCTCCTACTTTACTGGAGGTGCATTCCACCTGGCCAACAGCACAGGTGCAGCTCTTGGCGTTCAGAAGTTGCCTCCACATCAAATTACGTTTCGCTAAGCCCAGCTGGGTCACAGTGGAAAGGAGGGAAACTTTGCAACTGATCTTTAGAGCATGCGGCCCTATGTAATGTGATTTACAGGGTGCTTGCAAAATAAAAGGATAACTAATGGAATTTGAAAGGATTTAATCGAGGTGGGAGGCAGAGAAGTAAGCAAATGTCTTTTCCAAAGCAGCCAGTGTTCAGAAGCGATCCCTGCAGTGAGCCGTAAGTTGCTGAGTCCTGACCGGTGGCTGAGCTGCAGGCCAGGGCTGAGACCTTGATGTTCCCAGAGTGGGAATGCTTTCCCACCGAGCGCGTCCTCTGCCCTCCTGTGCCACAGCCGGTCTCGGCCATTTCCTGATCAGCGTGGTGGACCTGGGCAGGAGGAGGCTGTCACCTTTCACGGGCATAGCTTGTAGGATGGCTCCCAGCCGGAGGACTTGGAGAAGCTGGAGCCGACCCTCTGGGAGGAGCACATCAACAGGACAAAGGGCACAAGTTGGAACACGGGAAATTCCCATGAGGTATTAGGAAAAAATTGTTTACCATGAGGATGGTGAAGCACTGGAGCAGGCTGCCCAGAGAGGCTGTGAGATCTTCCCCCTTAGAGGTATTCAAGACTTAACGGGACATGGCCCTGAACAAGCTCATCTGTTTATGCTTGTTTTGGACACGATGACCTCTGGAGGTCCCTCCTAACCTGAATTATTCTATTACCCAACGGTTTTGTTACCTCACTGAAGCAAATAGAGTAGCACTGGGATGCATTTGGCTTATTACAGCTCTAAGTGGCACATCAGTGCACTAATGATTACATATTATATGTTTTGCTTAGAACATGACTGCATGTAGCCTCTGCTACCCTGTTATTTAGCCCACATGCTGAAATCTTCACAGATATGTGTATTTCATATATATATATTTCATATATGCTAAAGAAGACCCAGAGTGGAGAGTGTGGCATGGAGGCCTTTAGCTCTGCCAGTGTAATACCCCTCCCAAGACAGTGGAGCAGGGGTGAGAAGAGACGAGCTTCTGGAAAAGAGGGACTCATTTCCTGAGTGGATGCAAGGAGCAAAGCTGGTAAGCGTGTGCTTTAGTTAATAGGGGGTGGCAGAAACTGAAGACAGTGGTCGAGGAAATGACATGGTGGGAGGTGACTGGCAGGCATGGCAACGGCCCTGGAGAAGGCAGAAATAATGTGCCGGAGAGCATGGGTGAGGGGTGATAATTTACACCATGCTCTTTGTACCTAGCTTTGCTTAGGTACAGCTTAGCCCTCAACACAAATTTGTCCCCGTTACCAGCTGGGAGACAGGAGAAGACGAGTGTCTGACTTACATCCTCCCACCAGTACCTCCATCTGCAAGGAAGCTCTTCCCTATGTCCTCCTCCAGTTCCTCTCCCCAATTCCCACAGCGGCCCCTTATTTACTCAGAGAAGGGTTGTGCCACGAAGAGGGTGTTGTGGTTTGCCATCTCTGGCCCCACTGTTTATCAGGCACCAGTTAACTGAGAGCATGAAAACCACAACCTGGAGCAAAGCAACTTCTGTAACGTGATTTGAGAGCGAATGGGCTGGGATCAAAAAAGGTCACGGTGACAAAGTGGAGTTAAAAGCTGACTTAGATCAACATACTCAAGCACTCAGAAACAAAGAGAATAAGGAAATAATATGTCACTTTTTTTTTTTTTTATCAGTACAGATTCAACAACATTGAGAAACACTTTGAAATTAACACGCATTCGTTCCATCAGCAGTGCTGCTTCTTTTGATCCTACTGGTTTGATTCGGTTTCTGAGGCACTGTGTGTATTTGGAATAGAAGTGATAGCCAGACTGATTTGACAGAAGTGGGTAAAACCCTCCAGCAAAAAAGGGGGCTGCCTGCGGGCACAGAAGCTGTTGGATAAAGAGGACATCAAAATAAAGCTTGAACTTGCTGAGCTTAAGGAATCAGAAATAAAACTGACAGTAATGAGACCTAAGGAGAAGAAAAACACACCTGAAAAACATAGATGGGAATGTGCATGTGCTGGGGGACATGATCAGGTCCCCTCCATCTTCCTGTCCTCTGAGAGCACTGCCTCGTCAAAAATTAAATGGATCAAATGTGCTCGGAAGTTTTTTAGTGTACCAAGCAGTGCTTCGGCTCATTTTGTGTGCAATTTGTGTGCAGCACAGTGTCTTCCTATTCCTCGGTGCAATGTCATGCCCCCATGCTGGCTCTCAAGGAAGTAGTCTGACAGGGTCTACCTCATGTAGCAAATGAAGCAGTATGTTACCTAGGAAAAGATTCATTTGGACTGCTTATTTTTGCTGGGTCACAGTCCAGAGTAGCCAACAAGACATTCGCCAAGGACGGGACACAATGTGCTCTGCCTGTTATGTTAATGCTTTCATGTTCCCATACTGAAAATATTTTGCTTTCATTACACTGAAGTAGTTCTACCTTGCCATTGCCCTTGTAGAGAAATAAAGCATTTTCCACTGATAGTAAGGATTCAGGTATGCACTGTGATTTTTTGTTTTCCTCTTTCTTCAAGTGCCTTTTCTCAGCTGACTAGTTATTTCAGTGGCTCATTTAGATATTCATTCTAGTATTTTAATTCATTTTAGCTGCAAGCCAGGTGAAGAAGAGCAGAGTCACTTTTGAGAATTTTCAGAAATGCGTTTCAACTTTTAGAAAAGGAGAAATTCTTAAACAGTTCTGACTGAAGTTCAGTTTGTAAGGAAAGTTTGCAGCACTGAATGATGCCTCATACATACAGTCAATGTTTTTGATTTTGGTGGTAAGGCTTTTGTATGGATTTAAATATTGCACTGCACTTTTTTTCAGTAAGCAAAATTGTAAAGTGGGAGAAAATGCGATAATGAAGCAATTTCTTTACTTTGTGCCAGCTCTGAGAAAAATTAGTTTATTTTTCTTTCCCAGTGTTTGGTGTAGTTATCTCATATGCTAAATGTAGGCAGGAATCATTAAACCTTCCAACAGCAAATTCATAAATTTCAGAAGTCTCCCTGTGACAAGGTGGCGGCTTTTGTTGTAAATCGCTTGACAAATACCAACAAAACAAAAATGCCAGCGGATGCCAAGCAGTGAGGTTGGAGACACCCATGCTTGTTATACTGACTGCTCTGTTTTTCTGCGGGATGGTGCACTATTGACAGAAGTGGCTTTCGGTGATGTCTGAGGATTAAGGGTTTATTTGGAAAGATGGCCTAGAGCATTTTTCATGTGGTATTCAGGGAAGTGTTAACGTTTCTATGTACATACGGGAAAAACCTGATTTGGTAAGAGAGAGTTAGGACATAACCTGGCATGCAACAGCCACAGGTTTGCTGCGTCCATTAAAGAACCTGATACAAATGTTAAAATTCAGCTGGAGGAAGTGTTTGTGTTATTGGGGGATATACTGTTAGTGCACAATACTGTGCTTTAGTATGAAATGCAAAACATAATCATGCATGAAATTAATTTCTCAGTCATAAATCTTGTGCCCCCTCCCCCCCCCCCCCCGCTCAGTTTACACAGCCCCGTTAAATACAGGGCATCTTTGGAAGATGTGAAGATTTATGGGAGGAATTTTCTTGCCTGTGAGGGGAGACCTAAAGGGACTGCCTTCGGCGTAGGCCCCGGCTGACAGCAGCCGGCGCGCAGTGGGTCAGGGAGGGAGCGCGCTGGAGCCTTGCGGAGCCGCGGTCCTGTGCCAGCCCTTGTCCTCGCCAGGCACGCTCCGGTGACAGGTCACATGCCCTGAGCTTTGAAAATACTGATTTGGGGATCGCACGCCTGAACCGGTTTCGTTTTTTTCTCCCATCCCAAATGGGAGCTGACCTCAAGTTGAGATCCCCGTCAAGCCGATGCAATGCCCTGGGGGTTACTCCAAGCCCTCTTGCTGCCTATGCTTTGCAAGAGGTTTTACCCACCTCTGCCACAACCGTTTTCCAGCTCTGGCAGCACAAGCCCCAGCGCTGGACACCTCCACAGGCTGTGCTTTGCTTAATTAAGTGTGGCCCAAGGCACAAGTCCCTCTCGCCTGCCTGCGAGCTCTCTCTGCAGAGCCCCACAGCAGCTCTGTTTCAAGCCACTGCTTCTGGGGGGACGCTGGCTGAAGGGCACTGGCCTCAGCCTGGTGTTATGCCCCAGTTCTACATAGCTTCAAAGAAATGAAAAAAATGATGGGTTCTGAGGGTTGAGTTTCAAGTATAGAAAGGAAAAGCAACAGTTAAAGGGAAAATGTAATCCTCCTCTGTGCTCAACAGAAGTTATTTGGTCATATTTTTCTAGCAAGCCTCACTCCTGGCGTGCTGACCGAGCAGCCTCCGCCTGCCCACTCCACCAGCCCAGTGTTGCCCTGGGCTCTCCAGGCCTCCCATCTAACCGTACACGTCGGCTGCCTGCTCTCATCCCCACGAGTTGTGGCATGAGCAGCTCAGCTCGCAGGTGTCCTCAGGTTTTGAGCCCTCATCCCTCTGCCCCTCTCACGTCTTCATCAGTGGGAGAGTGTCTCATGCAAGTGGAAACCGCCCAGTTGCCCAGTGAATGTCCCGGGTGCTGGTGTGTTCCTTGGCGTTTGGCAGGGACCGGCAGCATCCTTGGACGCACGCCTGGTGGCTGACAGGCTCTTTGCCCAGCTGCATTTCAGTGATTAACCTGCTACCTCCATCTGTCAGCTTAGGAGTTTCTACACCACACTGAAAGGACAGGAAAGTTAAAGATTTGCTTGAACCCTCTGTGTTGGTATGATGACCCAAGGGTGGGCTGGTATGATGCCCATCTGGATATTCAGCTAGATATCTACCACGTGGTCCGTGCTATAGGACCAGCTGTAAATAAAGCCCCTTAAAGCTCGTGTTGTAGACCTTGCTCTCCAAACAAGGCTTGCAGGAACCAAGGGGACATGTTTTCCAAGGCAGGACTGTAAGAGGTCGCTCTCCTGTTTGTTTTGCCCCTGAACTCAGCCCCTCTTCTGTGAGACTCTTAGCACGCCGGTGTCTGTTGGCTTGTGAGGAGGAACCCTGCCAAGTTTTCAGGCATGGAATAGGTTGTTCCCTTCTTGGTTTTGAATTGTCGTGGTTAATTTCTAATGAGAAGTGCCTCTGAACTTCTGAACTTTGAACTCATCAGAGTAAGCCCTCCCTTGAGGACATCAAAGCCTGTAGCTGCACTTCAGGGAACGATTCATGCCACCTACTCATCATGCCAAGAAATTATCCCTAGTCCTTTATGTGGCACATGCATCATTGAGTATATTAATATACATGAGTAAATAAAATAAAGCTATTAGACTAGGATACACTTCCCCGAGACCAGAATTTTCACTGCAGACTATGAAACGGACTAGGATACCCATCACCAATCTTTCACAAAGAAAATCTGTCACAGCTTAGAACAAATCAAACAAGCACACATACATATGTATATATATTTGTATATATTGAAAGAATGTGATACAAAGACTTTTTTATATCCCTGCCATATATTATGTCTAAGAATAGGAAAAAGAGATCAGACTCTTACCAAAACTGCTATTTCCTTGATATAGGAGAAAAATTATTAGCCAGCAACCCCAGCAGCCACTTTCCATTTTTTCTTAACAAAATTAAACACCGATATGGCTTAATAAGTAAGCATTACCACTACAAGCTGATGAAACCAGTTCATAAAATAGCAAGAGATAAAGAAAGATTTAGGATAAGCAGAGGACACTAGAGTAACCCAACCCCCCTTTGCAGATAAAAATGTTCTTTTCCCTCTCGTTAAAGAAATCTACAGCTAGGGACCACAAATCATGTCTGATCACAGGCCTTCTCTTTATTCATGGAATTTCTTCTGCATTAGATAATCCTATATACCACTACCAACCACTTGTATATCCCTAGAATTTTTCATTACTAGAAGTGGGATGGGCATGTAATAATTATAGCACTTCATTAGCCTTATCAGGGATTATCTAGATTTACTTGTAAAACAGAGAGGTGCTTCCCTTGTAGTTTTGCCTTAAATCCCCCTGGCCTAAAAATGCCCATCAGGACACTCATTTCATTAGGATTTTGCTTTTCATACTTTTTTTCCCTCCCTTCTACACTATTTGTGTTCTTGCTACTAAGAACTTGCTTTAGGGAGCTTAATTCATTTGAGAAGATTTCCCAAATGAGCCATTTATGAATCATGGGTCTCTGTCTTTCATCAGCTCCACTCAAACAGCGGGTTACGACAAGGTATGACATTCTGGCTTGGTTTGTTTGTGCAATAGCTGGGATTTTTGTAATGGGGAAGTGAAGTACTTGGGTAATCTCCATTTGTTTTCAATAGGGCTGCAGTAGCCTTGAATGGAGACGTGTTTCTGAGGTTCTTTCCCTGTTGGTTTCCGGCATTTGATGCTGATTTCACTTTTTTCTTTTATGGCTGCAGTCATGCCTGGCTAAATAAGCTATCTCAAGCCCTTCCTGATACTGAGAGGGGTAATAAGGACAGTGTTCAGCATTTCTGTGGGCATGCTCTGTAGCGTTACAGCACAGTATTTTTCACTTTAGAGTCCCATCACCTTCAGTGACTTTACCTTTACTGTCCCAATATATTTGTAAGCTTGGGAGTACCCAGAGCTTTGATGGTGGCCCTGTATAATCAGTCTTGTGCACGTGATTTTGGAGTAATTTGTACTCATCAGTAGAGCTTGCCAGATTTTCTATTAAAAGGATGAAGTTGCCAGGTCATGTAAATATGCTGTAGTCCAGCTCTGCCTAGTGTCTTCCTTCAGAACATCCAGCCGCTGGTTTGCACAATTATTTTTGCAATGTGCATCCAGTGACTTACAGTCTTATTTGAATGATGTTTGTTCACAACCAACTCACTAAATAGTTCACATCCAAAAGCAATTGACAATGATTCGTTCTCCATTATGAGCCCAGTCCTGGTGGGTTTTATTATTATTTTGGAAACAGTGAAGGATCAACACCATAAGAGGCCAGTCAGTGGGGGATTTAATTTGTTATTGTGTTAATATCAGAGTATTTTAATGTAGCTGTGAAGCAGCTGTGAATGCTGTTTCTGCAGCTCCTAAAGGCTTTTCTGATGCCTATTTCAGGAAGGATCTCTAAATTGTGATAGTAAGGGTTGGCCTTGCCTTATGTATTAGCATGCTCATGAATTTCTCTTCGATTCACTTTTGCTGTTTCTTAAACTAAGACAATACTACTACTACATAATTATTATCTATCCCTGTTTGCTGGGAGCAAGGGTGAGGTTAAAATGCATTTGTGTCTGGGAAGCAATCTTCAGATGGGAAACCCCAGAGAAATGTAAAATTTTCCCCACCTTTGTAGACTGAGACAACACGAGGACACACTGTGTAACCTCACCATTTGGCTGGACCAGGGCTAGAAATGTGATGCTTGCTTTGCACATGATATGCAGAGACACCTTAACAGAAGTGGTTTTATGTGATAACTACTATATATATGCTTAAGGGGCAGGGTTACATCTTCGAGCTGAAAGCA